ATATCCGGATGATCGTACAGCTTCCGCAACAGATCGGCAATTTTAGGATCAGGGTTGATGTCCTCAAATGACGAATGCCGCTTCAATTTGAAGAAGTCACGCATTTCATTCAAGGACGCGAGGTTCCATTTGCGTGCAGTGAGAATGCCAGCAATTTCGACCATGCGGAGTGCTTTGGGAACCATCCTAGCCCCGAATAGACCCGCAGGGTCTTCCATGCTGTCCTTCAGGATCTGTACCAAGTCGGCGTCGTTGAACCTACCATTTTGATTGCGTTTCAGTCCACCGAATTCCCGCTTACTCGGGTCTTTCTCGATGCTTCGTTCGTAAGTTATGAAACCTTGCATGAACTCCTGTGGTGTAAGTTGCTCCAGCGGTTTCTTGAGGTCGGGGAACAGACTTTTCAAGAACTCGTTCGTCCACTGTTCGTCTCGCCGGGAGATAACCGAGTGGAAGCGATATAGGAGGTTAAATTCTGCAGATACTTGGTTTCCCACACCTCGGGGAACCCCATCAGCGTCGAAGGCTCGACTCACGGCCACACGAGGGTCCAGAGTCCAGTCACTCGCCGAATGGTGAGTGTTGGTCAGTCCACGGAGATAGTCGTGTAGTGAGATGTTCACGTAGAGCCCATTCACGATGCTGTCCCGGAGTTAGTTGATTAGTCACATATCTCTACTATGAACATAACATGGAGTGATTACTTACAGGCGAGTCACCTGGAATAGATCTTCGTCTTGCTTGGCCAGTGCCTTCCGTTTTGCATCCTCAGATGTTGTTGGCGGTAGAGTGAATCGTCCATTCTCGTTAATCTTCAGCAGAACATCGGCCACATAGTTGTGGAAACGATTGTACATGACAAGGATCACGTTGACACCAGGGGGCTGACCCAACAACCTCTTCTCGTGGAAGGTGTCAGGCTTGAGCATACCGCGTTCCAGAGTACGGACTCTCAGCTGGTCTTCATAGCTGGAACCATATAGAGGAGCGAGGTCCAGATATGATGAGGTATCCGAAATGTTGGGGTCGCGCCGGTTCGTACAGAAGACATCTATTTGGTCTTAGCGCCAAGTGGTGTGACAAAAAGATCAGCCTTGTATTTTGGACTCACCGTGAATGATGATACTTGCATGATAGAACAGAACTGAGGAGATGCCTGCAGGGTTTTCTCGGAAAGTCCCTTCATCACGGGCCATGAGGACTGAATTTTACTTGTCAGGACGATATTGTCTATTCTAAAGACTCGAGACTCACGATCAAAGAGAAGGCCAGGGTCAGGCTGCACTCCGTGCAAGGCCTTGAGGCGGGGCACCGATCTCGCATACGGACTGCCTGCTTTGCCAAGGTCAGGCTCTAAAGGGTTCTATAGTATTGGAGTCAAATAGGTCAGTGATGTCTTCGTATTTCGGACGACAGGTTGAGAGATTAGTCTCACGTTGTAACTTCCATCGGGAGTGCGGTATTGATACTTGTTCCCAAAGTACGATAGCGGAGGATGCTCCAAGCTCTGCCAGAGCTGGTCAACCAGGATGCCGGTCAACCTCTGTCGGGACTTGGAGGTTCGCGGCAACATTGCAACGATGGCGATGACTTTTTCCATCTGCAGCGGTCATTCCCTATCAGCAATGGCTCATTGAATCTGGACACAAATGGAACCCGACTCACAAGCATTTGACGATCATCGATCGGCTTTCCTTTAGACTTCACTAATTGAATCAGTGTACGAAGATCATTTCTCTTGCCCTTGAGTCCTAGAGCCGAGAGATCCTTGACAAGGCCCGTGGCAAGGACATCGGGATCTCCGTATGACTCTCCAGCTTGATATTTCACGTCATCTTCCACTTCTGCTAGCTCTTGTGCATGAAAGATCCTCGCATATAGCCGTTGCCAGAGCCCCTCTCCCGTCCCGGCAATGCTGGACAGAGCTGCTTCCGTGGCCTTTGGAAGGAAACGAGGCCTCAACTTCCATGTCGGGTGTGTATGGGAAGAGAAAACCTTGGCAACTATCTGGAAAGGGCGTGTCGGTTCATCTGCAAAGACCCGCAGATAGAGAAAAGAAAGGAGGCAGAGGAGAAGAGCAATCAAAATGGAGCTCATAATTTAGGAAGGCGAGGCAAGGCGAGGTACAGTTTTAGCCGTTAGTTGTATTCAAGAGAGCAATCTATCGCGATGCTTCTGCAATACATTATGCGATCTCTGCCCGAATACTTATACACGAGGAATATCTGTTAGGAATCAGCATGCTGTGAAAACCGGGGCCACCAATGCCAGCTGAAAGAGGACCCATTGTCCCCGGCGCTTGGGGTAGCTGAGATCCTGAAGACCATACGGGGAATACCGAGCCGACAAACACCTATCGATCCTGCGGACACAGCCCAGCTGAAAGCATGAGATTCGCTCTGGCCCCGCGCTCAGAGCTGTCATTGCGACAGTCTGCAGACTTCGCCAGCCATCTGTCGCCTGATTGGTGGCAGAGACGGCACATATGCAGAGGAAAGGGTAGATCCCCCCTCAGGTGGTCGTGCTTGAGGAGAAAACTCAGCCAGCCACTATGCAGGAGAGTAACAATGAGAGGGGTTTATCAGACAGTGTGGTTTTTAGCTGGCAAGATCAGCATATTGTCAAACCAATCATCAGTATGAAGAAGGGGCCGGACCCCGACGGGACACAGACCTCCTGCCGCGGCACGATCATCATGAAAGCTGATCCAATGATAGATGCTGGATTGCATCTCGGCAGTTTCTACCTCACGAACACCCCCACAAGCGGTTCGTGTTGAAATCCTCCCCGCGGCCCGTCATGATCGGCGCTGGGCATCATGATTGAGGTCCCCGACGGTGCTGCTGTCCGGACAGTTGCGTTTACCCTGATAAAAGCTGGGTATTAGGCATGTCCCGTATTGTTCCATCTCTGATTTCATTCTTTCCAGGATTCATTCATATCCTCGACTGTTGTTTTTGTCCAATTGTACTTTTTCTCTTCGTTGTTCCACTTGGCTAGAAAATCTCCAAGCTATGCCACACTCAACAGTGGATCAGACGTCCAGCGTGGAAGCGCCCTATTCTGGTCCCCGAAAGCTGGTACTTTGCCTCGATGGCACTGGCAATCAATTTATGGGGTTTGAGCGCGACTCAAATATCGTCAAAATATACCAGATGCTCGAAAAGAACACGCCCGGTCAATTTCATTATTACCAGCGTAAGTTATATGGGAACTGGGGTTAGCCACAGAGTGTATGATTCACTGAGCTTACGCATTGGTCAGCCGGAATTGGAACCTACGTCGAAGGTCAATCGTCCAGCTCCGGATTGCTTCGTTATCCGCGAAAGCTACAGTCAAATATCATAACCACCATCGATCAGGGGGTAGGAACAACATTCGAAAGTCATGTCCTCGCCGCATATCGTTTTATTATGCGGTATTATTCCCCAGGTGATCATATCTACATCTTTGGCTTCTCGCGGGGAGCATACACTGCGCGATTTCTAGCGGAGATGATTCATGAACTTGGTCTTCTGTCACAGGGTAACGAAGAGATGATCCACTTTGCCTGGGAAACATTCAGCAATTTCCAACAAGCACGAGGAAAGACCGATCGCACTGCGAAGGATGAGGCATTAATCTCATACATGAAGAAATTCAATACCACCTTCTGCCGCCCGCAAGTGCAGATCCATTTTCTCGGGTTATTTGACTGCGTGAACAGTGTCGGCCAATTCGAGATCCCCTTTCATCGCAAGTCGCATCAATACCTGGTCAGTCCGGCGGCTCGACACATCCGACATGCTGTATCGATTCATGAACGTAGGCTCAAGTTCAAGCCTGCCCTGGTGCTGCTTGACAAGACCAAGCCAGTGGATCTGAAGGAGGTCTGGTTTGCAGGGAATCATGGTGATGTGGGAGGGGGCTGGAGTCTGGCTCCCGGACAGTTCCACCTTTTGTCTGATACACCGTTGAATTGGATGCTGCAGGAGGTTCTTCATCTGGAAAAGTCAGAAAGCAAGTTATCCTTCCACACACTCAATGTTGCAGACGTCGTGGAAAGGGAAAATGCGTTTCCTGGGAAGGAGGAACCAGGGACAACAGCATATGATGTGCGGAAACGCACGAACCAGCCTCATGATATGTTAATGTTCAATCGGGGAGCGACTTTTCTCATGGTAATATTCTGGTGGATACTCGGTGTGTATACATCTCGCTGTGATGACCCAACCCTTACTAACCTGCATAGAAATCCTCCCCCTCTTTACACGCCTCGAACTCGAACACGGCAAATGGGTCCCCCGGCAATGGCCACCCAACATGGGCGCGCCTCGCGATATCCCCGAAGACGCTGTCATCCATCCGAGTGTGCATGAAATGGTCCGGGCAGGCATTCTAGACCCAAAATCAATTCCGCCGTGTGGGGGGAATAACTCTCACCTCCCCTCCACTGCGCGGATTACTGGCGCATGGAAAGCGATGAAGAAGAGCCAGGAGAAACAAATCTCCTCATTAATGGAGAAAAAGAAGGCTGTAGATGCGCTGAGAAGTAAATTCGACGGGAAGGCTAATTAAGAAGTATTCTACTGTCTGGTGGGGATGGGCGAAGAGGTGCACGATGCAGGTGGTCAGATTGTTGGAGGGTCGTTTCGGGATGATTAATAAAGCTATGTGATGCTGATGCGGTATAATTTAAAACAGCTCGCCATGTGGTGTTTGGGATAAGACCAAAAAGAAAAGAAAAAAAGAAACTCTCCTAAGCACAACCCAATAGTGGCTTTCACTATCAAGCTTGTATTTCCCAGTTACCAGGTTTCTCGCTGGTCAGGCGACATGACAGGATGGTCATATTCTATTCATCCTGTCGTACCCTATCCTGGCCAAGGATTGTTTACCAAAGAGCACCACAAAGGGAGCCGCATTATTTACCTGCGAGGTTCCATCTTTCAAGGGCTGATGAGCTCAATGATAATTCAAATTGTCAAGATTATTGCAAGTGTTAACTTTCCTCATGCTATCTATACAATGTGGAATGTACGAAACTGACGTTTGTGGTTAACCCAGCTCTGCAAATGAGCCCACGCCAGTCCAACACGCCGACTAACGCCATTTTTTGTCTCAACGAGCATGAGCTCTACTTCAAAAGTCCCAGTAAAAAAAATTATAATTGAATACGTTCCCCCCGGAATCATACCAACAGACTCCCTCTTTTCTTAGTTCACCCCTGCTCGGCGTGTGTGTATTTCGAGTGATAGATAGTGCGAGCAAAGTGAATAGAGAATCGGGGCTATGTTGGCGGATATGGTTAATGCGCTCCATATCGATTGCGCCAGAGATGATCTTGGGCATAAAGTCGTCAACTTCAATGACAGAAGGCTCGTTTCCAGGCTGCCCACCCCTCGTACTCAGTATGAGTTGTTTGAGATCTAATGACTTTGTGTAGGCAAATGTGGATCCAGGCAAACATCCATGACACAGATCTGGAGAGAACCGTGCATTCATTTCTTGTTCAGACATGATAGCTTGTGGCATTCCATGAGCTTCATTGCAGAGCTGCTCCATGGATTTCCATTTGCGAAGAATATTCAAGTTCTCACTCCATCTAACTTCAGTATTGAGCATCTTCGGAAGGGATCCCGAGAAACATCCGGATCTCCAAGCTATTACAACGGCCAGAGCCTGACAGTCATCTGAATATGACCTGCGGTTACACGTCAGCTCATCTGTTTCCTCGAGCCCCGCGGACTCCCCTATACTGTTTGCGATGACTCGCAGGGCTGATTGTTGACCCAACCTAGGAGGTATTGCCCAAATTGCTAGGGACGTCCTTAGTGTAATCTCATCCCAATATTTCTCATGTAACGGTCCGATCGCGATGGGACCTTTAATAGAAGACCAGGACCAGGTTGGAAATACGTCACCCAGATCTGCATTCCTTGTGGGATACAATCTGTCCACTTCTTTTCAGAGAATTGCATCACAAATATTATTCAGGGGTAGGCCGTAATAACACTCTGGTCCCCAACCCGTGTATAGAACACCTGCGAGTGCACGAAGCACGTCACTCTCCCACGCTAAATTCCCTTTTGTGAGGTTCTCTACCACCGTGCTGTAAGACAATAGCGGAACACCTGCATATTCAGAGATATCAGAAATGCTACCGTACATCTCATCCTGGATGGTTCCGGGGTAGCAACATTCATAGAAAACTCTTGTGTCGGAAAACAAAAGCCGTCGTGTCGAGAGTGTCGCCTCTTGAAATGCCCAGCCTCTTGTGGCCCATATTGAATCCCGTAAGCAATTCTGATAATTTGGGGGCGTGGCAACCAGGCAAATCCCCTGTGCGGTTCCGACCCAAGGCACCGGTCGCTTGACCTTGTTTACTCCAGGAAGGCCATGCTCGGCATTGCTTCCAGCCAGAGCGAAGATTGTTACATATGACTGCGCGTATATGTCTCCCATGGAATTAAGCCAGTAAGATTTCCTGCCAGGATCATCATCCTGTAAGATACAAAAGGCGATCGACCCAAAGATAATCTATCCCCATCTTCTTACAAGCAACAATAGCATCATCGATAGTCTGTGGTAGACTCTCGCTGTGTAGAGAGCCTTCTTTGACCAGATGGTCAATGTTCGTCGTCGTTGCTTGCAAGTGATTGCTTGTGGTCCCCCACACATAGCTCAGGGCAGCATATCGACATGTCGCAGGCGCAACTTTAATGCATCGTAGTCTGGTATCAATAACACGAAGTCCTGGTATTTGTGAGATAGTAGGCTTTGTCTGGCAGGATGCCTCGTGCTCAGCAGAGTAGTGGCAATCTCTCAACCACTCGGAGATCTTCTGCCAGTCGACCGTTTGCTGGGGTATAGACGTGGAGACAAGGTATTGGCCGTGGGTAAGCTCTATCGTCCCGTGAAACAACTTGCGACCTGCAATATATGAGTCAATACTCTCTGCTTCAAATAAACGTTCTTTATAGTTGAGATTATACGTACTCACCGACTCAATGCCATCAGACCATAGATATGATGACTTTTCGGCCTTAGGGCTTGTTAGAGACAACGTCATTCTGAAACTGCATTTGGCATCCCCGATTGTCTCTTCGACTGCAGTATGTTCTCCACGCACTTGGATATAACAATGTGGATCAGGTAAAAGTCCTGTACTTTTCATCAACTGGTCAGCTGCCCCTGCAAACAAGCGACAGGTGTCACAGTAAGAGGAACGTTCCTGCATATCTCGGACGCTCCCTAGTCTCAGAATCATGGTTTTCACGACATTTTCATGTGACTCTCGCGACATGTCTGCAAGCTTAGGGTTTAATAAGAGCGTACACTGTATCAAATGCCTTGAGTCTCATGTGTTTACACATCGCGCAGGATGCATTATCAGGTGTAGCGGGGCAACGATGGCAACTTTGGTGGAAATGAACGATCTTTTCCAGTGTTGGCCAGTATCCGTAACGTCTGAATCATTTGCTCCTTCTCGTGCCCTTTATAATATACACATATAGCAAGAATTCACAGAATGGACATGTATCTCCAAGACCCTCTGTATCCTCATTTCCAGAATCGTGAAGCACGCCAACATGCGACGTCATAATCAATGAATCCTCGGATATTTGGGAAACTTTGGAGGTGAAAAGAGGAAGGTATCCAATAGAAGGTACTAACTGTATTTCAGTCGTTAAACTGGGTTTCTTCTGACAAGAAAGGATAGCATAATCAGGTCGCGGCAGAGAAAGAAATTAGGACATATGAGTGATTGTTACGCGCCATGTCTTGATTGAGTGGGGAATTCATGCATAAAGGCCCGACTTGGCTTGAATCAGGGCATAACCGCCGAAGGGCTCCAGCTAACTATTACTACAGTCTCTAGCTGCATAAAAAGTAGCTGCCCAATCCACATAAGACAGCCTCCTAGAAAACCTCCCAAATAAAACTAGAACCAGTCAATAAATCAGTACTTAGCAATTTAAGCCTCATAAGTAGACCCAGTAGTCAATAATTAGTAAAGTAGATGGCGGTCTGGAACCATATTATAAGCACTCAATAGTGAAAATTCTAAGCTGTTTACCTTTTGCAAAGCCAAAGTCTGTAATCCAGGTACATTCTATACAGATCCCTGTATGTAACGAACATCGCATCAAGCCTTCACAACATACATTCTAGCATACCCATCCACCATTTTATCTAAATCCAAAAACTAATCCCAAAACCAAAGAATGAACTTCGATCAAACAGCAACCGCCACACCTCCCTCTCCAGGTACACCAACCCACCTCCCCCTCTCCTCCTCGAGCATCATCCCCGTCAAAAACCTCCCCTTCGCATCCAACGTACTCGGACTCTTAAACACATTAAATTTAAAATCATGCCACTCCTTCGCCGACCACATCTTGCCCGTCGCATCCCTAAAGGTGACATCATCATTCGGCCTCAAAAAATACGCAATACTGTAACGGTCCTCTTCCTGCGTCTCCTTCAAAGGCACAACACGATGCACCACACTCGCCAGCTCCCCGCCAGACGGGAACCGCAAGCTATCACCCACGTTGATGATAGCGTGGCCGGCACGAGGCTCGATAAATTCCCAGCGCTTGGTTTGGGGAGAACAGTACTGCAGACCCCATTGGGCCGCAAGGAGGAAGGTGAGCGTGCCGACGTCGGTGTGCTGGTTGTGGCCGACGCTGGTGGGCTCGCTGATTCCGGACTCATGCTTGGGGTAGCGTAGGATACCGAGTGTTGAGGTGGACGGGCCGGGGTCGGCGTGGTAGGTTTCGAAGCGGGAGGGGCCAGTGAGACCGAGTTGGGTGGAGAGGCGCGACAATATTAGGAGGGTGATGGTGTGGGCTTGGTTGATGAAGTTGAAGAAGGGGGCGGATTTGGTGCGGATGCTGGTGGTGAGGTCGGTTGAGTTCTTGAGGTATTCGCGGCGGGAGAACTGTGGATGTTAGTATAACTGGGGTGGATGTAGAAAGGGGGAGTATCATACCTTGAGGGATTCGTAGCCGTCTCTGGTCTTGGGCTTGGGGCCTTCTTCGGTGCCCATGGGCTCGTAGCTGAGATGGTCAGTGGTGGTGATAATGCAGGATGGGTTGGGTGATGTAACTTACCCGAAGTTGTCGTCGTTGCGGGCATCCTGCATCTTGATATCAAGGGGCTGCTCGAAGTACTCCTTCATGATAGACAGCATGTCTTTCCAGAGCTGGCAGAGCTCGGGATCGCTGGTCATGTTGAGGTAGAAGAAACCATAGTTCTGGCAGACGCTGAGGAGTCTCTTGTTCTCCGTTTCATTGTCTGCTCGGAGGAGGTCGAGCTCGATTGTTGGGAGAGACTCCGCAACGAGGATGGGTTCGGTGATGGCCATGTTGAACTTTTGAGGGGGAAAGAACGCTTGAAGAAAGTGTCTCCGGCTAGAGAAAGATGAGTTGATTTGTTACTTTGATGCTAGAGAACTTGCAGCTTTCGAGCTTCTTATATGCGCCTGGGGTTGGCCCTCTCGTGACGGCCACGGCAAGTATACAGCATCATTGTCCGATGTATACAGCCTCTCAAGACTCTTTCCTACTTCCACGATGGCTAAGGGGCCAGAATCTCAGAGACGGCTCTGCAATGGCGTGATTCATCCCGATGTAACCCGTAGAAGGATAGACGATTCCATCCTCGTGTTCGCTAAGTGTTGATACTACCTAGCTAGCTGTTCTAGATCGCGAAGACATCTTCAGGATCTGGTCGACAGCTGGGCGATGGCAACTATGAGACGACGACTTGCTCGGGGATGTTTGCTCAAACAGGAAGTTGTCTTCTCGAGCGAGAGAGGGTATGAAACGCATGTTAGTTAGCTATACAAAGGATTGATCTATGAAATGATTGATTGGCTGCTTTCTTCTATTACACGGATACAGCCTCTACTATACGTAAGCACTACTCAGCAGCTAAGCATAACTACTGTACAGTACTTTTGTCGAGTATGAAGGATCGTTAGCGGGATCTATTGATCTACTAATGGCAAATCTGTAACACCTTCCTTTTCAGGTAATGATCTGGGCTTGTTCGGTAGATATCAGGAGGCGAATCAGATTACCTTTTGATATTACAAAGGGAGAGGCTCAAAGGATTCGGAGATCCGTGGTCAAAGCGCTGGGGATTTTACTCAGTAGGCACTAGAAGGACCATGTAGTTGGTGCTTTTGCCCGGAAGGCCTCTAGCTTAGGAATCCAAGGCAATGATAGGCGGATAGAGCCGAAATCTCTTAGGGCATGCATAATTAGCTGACAATAAATGTATCAACGATGAAAGCAGGTAATAGTATTACGATTCTTCAGACTCAATCTAGATACCTCTTGGCAATAGCAGTCCGCGCTTGTAGCCGTCCTACCCCACAACTATCGCCACAACGAACATCACCCGAAGCAGTTTAGGGCTTACTCTTCATGAAAGACGTAACATATTAACCCCATTGATGAGGCTATGTATAAGCTATTCACCCCCTGCATTTCTTTCCCCACACCACATGCATCACCTGATAATTCCTATCAGAGCTTTTTAGCAGCTAAAGATCCGAACACGTAAATCGATCCTGTAAGTGCCGGGATGAACCCGATGTCGGCGCACTGTATATACCTCATGTTAATATGACTGGGGATCAGCTAGTAACGGGCTAGATTTCCTGCTCCACTTCTCTGCAGTGAAACGGCCCCCAGATTTAGCACGGTTGTATAGCACGAAACGGCATTCACCTTGAGAGGCGGCAATGTCCGTATTATGGGTTACATCTGCTAGTGAGAGGCTACAGCGCCTGCAGATGAAGATGAAGCCTAGATGCTTGCTGCAGATTGCCATCGCCGAAGATCTGGACTTGTTGAGATGAGGAGACTCGTATTCTGATGCAGCTAATAGAGTAAAGGGAATTGGCTGGGGTGACTAAATGTGAAGTGTAAGAGTGATGGCTGTGTGGGAAAAGTACGTCCCGCGATAGTATAATTACCCATCATGGTAGTGATATATACCTCCAGTTATTGTTAGACATCGCAACCTCAACAACAACGTCCAAGTCATTCTTCGTTCTTTTTTTCCGTTTACCTCTTGTTTCTTTTATCACCTACCTCAACACAATGACTGTACAATCCAACGGTCACGGTGGTGCCACCGATGCCGTCGCAGCCCAGGCCGCGCTGGTCCGTTCCCAACAAGAACGGCGGCCCATTGAAAGCTTTGGTCACCTTGCAGACTTCGACAAGAAAGATGCTCCCGTCGTCACCATGTTCAGCGGTGGCCTGGACAGCACATACCTGCTCCTCAAGCTCCAGCAGCTCGGCTACACCAACATCCATGCCGTCGCGGTAGATGTTGGAGCTCCTGTAGACGAGGCAGGACTTACCAAACACGCTGCTCACTTCGGAGCATCATTCAAGTGTCTCGATGGTCGCGAGCTGTTCGTCAAAGATGGAGTCATGCCAGCCATTCGCGCTCACGCATCATACATGCGCATGTTCCCCATCAGCAGCTCCATCACTCGTCCGGTCATCGCTCGTCTGATCACAGACTACGCAAACTCCGTGAATGCAGGCTTGCTCCTCCACACTGCAAACTTGTCCCAGAACAGTCTTCCCCGTCTCAACAACTGCATTCGTCTCTACGGCTTCTCTGGAAAATTCGGAAGCCCCTACGTCCACTCCGTGACCTCGCGCGAGAAGAAAGCGTCGGAGCTATCCGCAGCCGGACTGACCATCATGGCTGAGCGCAAGCTAAGCGGAGACGAGAACCTATGGTGTCGAGAATTCGAAGACGGTCCGCTAGGTGACCCGGAGGGTTTCAACATCCCCGAAGAAGCCTACGAATGGACACGGCGAAGCGGCGACTATGCCCCCGAGAAGCTCACCCTGAGCTTCGAAAACGGCAACCTCTCTTCCATCAACGGCGACGAGCTCCCCCTTATTGACGCCATTGCACTCCTGAACAAGGAGGTAGGCAAGTTCGGTCATGGCCGCTTCGTTGGGCTCGAGTTTCTTTCGACCGACGACAAGGCATTGGAGATTCGCGAGGCACCGGCCGCTGCGATCATTATGGATGCGCTTCGGCACCTCGAGCTTGCTACGCTGGAGACTGATACCCTGGAGTTGAAGCAGCAGCTGGAGCAGAAATGGATCCGAGAGGCGATTGCCGGTCGCTGGGGTCATCGGTGCCATACCATGTGTGAGGCCGCTATTGTTGCCGCTTTGGATGGTGTCAGTGGGAGCATAACTTACGACATTGACCATTCGCGTTTCTTGCCTTGCTCCATTGTGGCGAAAAATCCGCGGTATATCAGGGATCGGGACCAATGGGAACAGGGGCAGGAATTGCTATCGCGGATTTAGTATCATTAGAGTATAACGAGTATGAAAAACGGATGTTGTTTAGTTTAGGTTTTTTTTTTTTTTTTGTTTTGGTAATGAAACTTTTCGCTATAGCTTTCACAAAAATGTAATTCGCTATTCGCCTCTTTATGGTTACAATGAAAGTGTGACCAAACCGATAATGATCTGTTACAAATCTTACATACATTAGCGCGGACACGCCCTGACAGTGACAAGGACTGGTTGTTACATTAGCCAGAAGCTCGGACCACCCCCGTCTATCAGGTACATATACCCTGCTCAGCACCCAATACTCCACCACTTATCTTCTAAATCTACCATAAGTTTTGGATATTATTTACACACAAATGCACCGTCAGCTACGTTTCTGACTATCTTTATCCCAGTGTGTGCCCACCCAAAGACTCTACTGCACCCAACATCGCATCGGCAGATCCAGCCCAATCACAGTACGTCTAAACCTCCTAGTCAGCATAATCCGGGGCCCCAACCTAACAAATTGATAGATGTCCGAATCCACAAAACTCATCTACCAACAAGACGGACAGCTGCTCCTGCATGGGGCCAAAATTCTCTCCATCATCCCAGTTTCCAACCTCCCAGAGGCAGACCAAGCTTTAGCCAAAGACTCCCCAGAAATCGAGCATGCTGTGGTCACCGACTCCACGATCTTCCACGTCCAAGGCGGCGGCCAGCCCTCAGACACCGGAACCATGACCACGGAGGTAGCGCCCAAAGCAGCTTCCATCTTCGAAGTAAAATCCGTCCGCCAACCAGCCCAGGGCAATCAGATCCTCCACCTGGGCCGCTTCGTCCCGGTCGGAACTACCCAGTTTGATTCCGGAGAGGAAGTTCAGCAGCACGTGGACGCTGAGAAGCGGAACCTGCACTCTCGGCTCCATACTGCTGGACATGTCATGAGTTTGGCAATCCATGCACTGTGTCGCGAGGGTGTGCTTCCCCCGGTGAAGGAGTCGAAGGCGTCGCATTATCCGGGGTCGGCGTCGGTTTCGTTTGAGGGCACGTTGGAGGGGAAGCACAAGGAGCTTATTCAGGCGAAGACGGATGAGTTTGTGAAGTCGGCAAGTCCGGTTCGGATTCATTGGTGGTCGATGGAGGAGTTGATGGAGAAGTGCTTCGTAGCGGAGGGGTTTGCGTTGCCCGAAGGGGAGACGTTGGGGAGGGTTGTGGAGATGGAAGGGTTGGGAAGTTATCCTTGTGGAGGGACGCATGTTACGGATTGTAGTTTGGTCGGGAGGATTGAGGTGAAGAAGATTTCGAGGTCGAAGGGGGTTAGTCGGGTTTCGTATACTGTTGTATAGTGTTGAGTGGGTTGGGTATATAGACTTGGGAGGTATAGATTGATGGTGCAGGGGATAGAAGGGTAATCGGTATTATGCAGTATGAGGTTGAGACTAATTTTGGATGTTTGTTACGAGGAACACGGATATAGAACAGCCACCAGGATTAGATAGAAACTGTGCTTTGTAAAATGTAGAGTCTGGATCTTCTACATTAGATTACATGTTATCCAAATGTGTCTTTTGGGTGCAAATACAGAGTATCACAGACGTGTATTGTTCAAGTAAGCTAAGTATCATACTTACCCTCTAAAGAGGAGGACTGATATCAAGTCCATTCACAATCAACTTGAAAGAGTCGTTTCTGTTCAACCAAATTAGCATAAAACCACGAAGTACTAGTAGGATACTCCATACCTCGAATAACTTCCAGCAGCATCTGAGTCCAATCTGTATCTCAGACAATCATCGAAATCCACCCCCACCATCATCATGCCATCTACTTCCTCCCAGAGCGGTCCTTTCAACATATCACCACTCGGAGCTACAATGCAAGAACCCCCTCTGGTGGCAAATTCCTCACTCTCAGACTTTTCCCCATAAACCCAAGCAGGTTGGTCCTTCTTCCTGTGGCATTGGTTGGCACTCAGAACGAAACATCTACCCTCGCAGGCAATGGTTCTCATTAGAGGGGCCCATGCGTCACGCTGATCGGCAGTTGGTGCCAGATAGAGGTTGACGTTCTGGCTGTAGAGGGAATGTCTCAAAAGCGGCATGTAGTTTTCCCAGCAGATAGCAGCTGCTAGGGTGAGTTTCACGCCTTTGATGGTGGTTGTCACAGCACGGAGCGAAGAGGGCTGTCCCTGGCCCCAAACCAGACGCTCACTTCCTGTCTAGTTCTGGTCAGCCCAATACCATATCAATACAAAGAGGTATACTTACCGGCATGACCTTTCTCCGCTTGCCAATCACTGACCAGATAGCATCATGTCAGCTTCCACATTCCACATCCAAAAGTACATGCGGATACTCACCTCCCAAATTAGGACAGACATAAACCACCGCACAATAAAGAGTCCCTCCAGCCCTCTCAACCAATCCAGTGACGATGAAGATACCTGTCTCGCGAGCCACTAGTTCCAGCTCCTCGCGGACTCCATCGCCCCTTCGGACTCCACTTCCACTTCCGTCCTGCCCCTCCAATTCCCTTCTCACCCACTTCTCCCCCGCTCCTTCAGGCGTATCGCCCAGATCCACCGCATCCTTGAAGTAGTTCAGGTATTGTTCTCTGCCTTCATCATCTCGGGATCCCACCTTGGCTCCAAAGGTCGCCCCACGAGGATAGCCCCCAATGTAAGCCTCCGGAAAGAGAATCAGATCGGGTGATGGAGTCTGCTTGGCTGCTTGCCGACATTGCTGGGACAATGCCTGGACAGTCTCCGGGGTGCTGGCGAGGGTGTGTGCCTGACTGACGGCGAGGTAGATGGTTTGTGGCGAGGCCATTGCTAGTAGTCAAATAATCAGAGTGTATGGATGTGCTATATTCACAAGAGACAAGAAGAGGTGTCCTTTCTACGGAGGTATACCAGGGCATTTGCCCATTTTATTAGAGCACAATACCCTTATCAGTTGAGCTTGGACCTGGTACCTGATCCCTGTTCATATTACCCCTCAATTAAGCCCTTTTCTGTACCTTTTGATTCCCTGTTACTGTCGGTCGACAGGTTAGTGCTTATCGTGGCAAGATGCTATCTCAAGTACCTTGTCCGCAGTCTTAGTGTATGGAACGGGATGGTAGAGTAACATTGGGGAAGGGGCAAATACATGCCCCACCCCGATTACGGTGACGTGTCTAGACATATCTTAGTGTCCGGAGACTATATCTTAGTCGATCTTAAGTTAGCCAAGTCTAGGCACTTCACCGTCAATTTGCTTCGGATTTAAGCGTCTCTGCTGACTTGCTTCTTCAGGAAATTCCTTCATATCCGCGCCCTGTAACATGGACTAGTCCGAAACCGGACTACGAGGAAATATTCCTCGCCACGCCGCATTAAGACCACTATTATTGAGTCATTTTGTTTTTCTTCTATCTTTATGACTAGAAATCACTTTCTTGTTTTGCATGTCTTTGTTCTTTTATAACTATGCAATTGTGACGGCCAATTCTTTTCAGAGATGCAATATATGCAAATAATAGGTATGTTCATTTGCGTTCTTAAAGCATTCATGCTAATCAATTATATTGTAGATTTGTCTAATAAAATCTCTACATAATAATCAATCAAATTTGCGATTCAGTTGCGACTATCACACCCATACTATTCTAATAACCCACCCACCGGTACCACTCACCAACACCACCAACATGACCGACAATAGCAGTGTCGAAGCATACCCAGAAGCTATAACCGAATTCGACGAAAAGACAATCAACAATGAAACCATCAAAGAAAAAAAATGGGGATTCATCTCAAAATCACAAAGTGTCGCAAGTTGGAAAGACCCCGGTCCGCCCCCAGATGGCGGAGCTCTCGCATGGACACAAGTCCTAGTGGGACACTTGATTATTATGAATACCTGGTAGGTTCCAATGCGCTGCTTTTGCACGTGTAAAAGCTCAATTGGGTTCTTCTGGAGCGTGGTTACACTCTGTGCTGGCCGTATCGTGAAAAGTATGCTGAAATAGAGCCAGGGGCTATATGAATTCGTTTGGTATCTTTCAGACGTATTATGTCGACTTTCTTAATCGCTCGGATTCGGATGTTTCGTGGATTGGAAGTGTTCAGGTCTTTATTGTCTTCTTTATTGGTACTTTTACGGGGAGGTTCACTGATGCGGGTTATTTTCGGCCGGTTTTTGGTGAGTATTCTTCTTCTCCGCCGATGCACCTCGGGCTTATGGCTTCCAAACTATGACATCCCCGCTATTGAAGATATATGCTAATTACTACAGTGGTCGGGACCATCCTCAGCGTCCTCGGCATGTTCATGGCCTCCATATCAACCGAATACTACCAAATATTTCTCGCGCAGGGAATCTGCTGCGGCATCGGCAACGGATGTCTATTCTGCCCAGCCCTCTCAGTAACATCCACCTACTTCGCAAAGCGAAAGATGCTCGCCGTCGGCATCTGCGCCTGCGGCAGCGCCACAGGAGGCCTAATCTTCACCGTCATGTTCCAGCACCTGATCCCACAGATCGGGTACGGATGGACGATGCGAGTCTTCGGCTTTTTCACCCTAGCCTGTCTAATCATCTGCAACATCCTGGCAAGACCGAGAGTGCCCCCTCGGAAAACAGGCCCTCTCATTGAACTCGCTGCTTTCAAGGAACCATCATACACCTTGTTTGCGGTCGGCATCTTCTTGACCTTCTGGGGTGTTTATTTCGCTTTTTACTACCTGAGTTCGTTTGGAGTTGCGATTATCAACATCTCTCAGGAGGAGTCGCTCACCTTTACTCTTATTCTGAATGGTCTGGGCATTATAGGTCGTCCGGTCCCTGCGTACCTGGCCGATCGGTATACCGGGCCGATGAATATTCTTATTGTGGTTACCCTGTTCTCGATTATTTGCGCTTTTGCCATGATTGGCGTTACGTCTATCTCGGGGCTTTATGCATGGACGGTTGTTTATGGTATTGTGGGAAATGGTTTGCAGGGAATGTTTCCAGCTACGTTGAGTAGTCTGACAACTGATTTGCAGAAGGCTGGTGTCAGGATGGGGATGATTTTCGTGAGTTTCCCTCCCTTTGACCAGTTGTAGGAAAGGGTGAATCCGGTTACTAACATGGGTGTAGACTATCGTCAGTTTCGCCGTATTGACAGGTCCGCCTATCGCCGGTGTATTGATCACGAGGGACAATGGCCGCTATGTATATGCGCAGCTCTTCGCGGCGTGCTCGATGCTTGCTGGGTTCTGTCTGCTCTGTGCGGCTAGGTTGGCGAAGACTGGAAAGGTCTTGAAGTATAAGATCTAGTGCGTTACGAGCGGAGCTGGATGGGTGGTAATCTTGAAAAACTCTTCAGGGGAAAAAAATGTGCGATTTTTTGGGGCTTTGGTATATGAAGCATACGCAAGACATGAGATGTGACGGATGTATGGTGCACTTACTGGAGTTTTAGAATGCATGTGTTATGGGAAGTTGTTGCTAGAGCGGGAAATCAAGCGATGATTAATGGCTTCTTACGCTACCTCTTGAACCCAGTGTCCAGTACAAAGATCTATAATGATGAAAGTTATTCAGTTACGCAATTTCGGGGCCAATCTAGAGATAGAAGGGGTGGTAGAGGGCATTAGACTGATGAGACTGCAGGACGCCGGGTGTTTATCAGGATAAGTTGCATCTCAATTTCCTTAAATAGTACAACGGTACTAGGTATGGCCTATGGGCTTCCTCTGCCGGACGCTGGGATGCTAGCTCGGTTCCAGCCTGGACCAATACCAATCCTTTGCATATTTACGGGATCAGCGATCGCCAATGTTTCCTATGCGTTTATGTACTATTCATATCGTTCTCGTCTCTCATCCGTCCAACACATCGGCCTTTCTTAAGCCGCCGGGGTTATCCCTCTCTTTCATATACCAGGCTGCCAAAACACCAGGCTAAGACTCAGTTGCTGAAAGGTAGCGTGTATAGGGCAACTTCATATAGGACAGAATACCTCGAGCACACGAAACCATTGCATATACACAAGGCTACCCCCAAAAGAAAGGTGTTAAAGAAATTCACGCATTGACACATCTCGACTGTGGCGGTATACTATGTTCCTTTTCCTAAATCAAGATATGCTTAGCTGATTCTCGCAAAAATCAGACCTCAGACCTAGGCTTCTCCAACATTGTGTGCAGCTGCGGAGTCGGACGAGTCAAAGGTAAGTTCGGCAGCATTCTCTTTTTGATACCCATCTAAGTTATCCTTCCAGAATATTGCAACGTTACAGATCGATACCCCCAACACCTGTCAAATAAACGAAACAGAAGCCGGACCGTCTCCCCATGTGCAGAGTCTTCGAGCAGAGGGTCAGGATCACAACTCCCAAACTCCAAATGGCAAAGTAGAATGCACGCATATTCCTGGACGATCTGGCAATACTTTACCTTCTCCAATTCCCCCTGACCCTTACCTCGGTCTCCCAGTAGTTGGAGATAGCATGACTGGGATCATTCTTAGAATGGGGCAAGACCGTGCTGTGAAGAAAGCAAAGCAATATCAACCTGGGTACCTCCAAAACCGCGAGGATGTGGAATACATGAACCAAATAAACCAGCAAACACTGAATAATGAGATCCAAGTCTTCAAGCGCCTGGGCAGCCACAAAGGGATCATTTCTTATTTCCAGACATCCCAATACGGGATTGAACTAGCCCTTGCACAAGAAAATCTTTTGAAACTTATCTAGAGACGTATCCAGAACACGATAACTCCCTGAAAACGAGCTGGATCTGGTGTATTATCAACACCTTCGCACATGTCCACTCTTGCAAGGTATTTGTGGATGATATCGCTCTTCGCAATATCTTAGTGCTGGATGGACAGCTTAAGCTTTCTGACTTTGGACAATCTATTTTATTACCACTTGATATTGATTTGAATTCGGAAAATGAAAACGACTTAACTGTCCAGATTGAGATACTTCACCTTGGTTGGGTTCTCTACTCTATCGCATCCTGGCGCGTCCATAAATACTATTTTTTCAACCCCGAAAACGCTGACTTGTGTTGGCCCGAACCAGACTCATTCCCAAATGCAGATCATGTTCTCTTTGTGGCAATAATCAAGAAGTGCTGGCGGGGCGAATATACGAGTATGGATGATGTGAGAGATGAGGCTCACCAATTGCTCACTAGCGACAAAGATCATCCGGTGCGCGATCTTGGTAACGAATCTTGACTGGCTTGACTATGTCTCCTGAATGGAAGGGATCCATCAGTCTTTCGCAATCTCGCTTCGGGCCAAGAGCCTCTATTCTGGGAGACTCACGAATTACCGATCGTCCTTGGAGGGCCTTAGGCTAAACTGATCTGCGTGGACTCTGTGAAGTATTGCAATAAGCAGAACAACGGGTTGAAAGCAATCGCCGGGTTCCTCACCGTCCGCTTGCTCACGTCTTTGGGAAGATGGCAAGATATAGCAGCTCGTGTGGGAAAAGCATAGAACTGGTATCAACGATAGTTGTGCTTTGGCGCATCGGAGAAAACCTGCCTACACATCAAAGGCCGTTCATTTGCCGACTACATATCACGATTGTCTTGTCTGGAATCAGAACAGGATGGTACAGCTCGGTAGTATAATCATCCAGAGCAAACCTCGAAAGAACAGTGATACATTGCCTACGCTAACAAAGAAGAAGAAGTTGCACGCCGCGAGGTGTCCTTTTTTTGTTTTCCCAGATTACCTGGGACGCGTCTTAGGCAGGAATGGAAGAGAACGGTCGGTTCCATGCACTGAGAAGTTTTACTTGTTTGTTGGCTCGCAGGGCTATTGGCCAAAGCATTATACATGATCGCTGTCGGTAGTCAGGAAACTCTCGTCCCGACATTGATTTCATGGGCAGTCTGAGTAAATTTGGACATCCCAGGGGCAAATAAAGTTGAACTCTGCATGGGAGTTATTCCAAGCCAGATGCTGCAAGGTCTTGCTGGTGAATATTTCTGTATTACAGAGTCAGTGGGGGAGTCATTGCAATGGTGTCAATCATGTCTTTCGCAAATCAATATAGTAAATAGATTAGATGCTTCGTTGGCTTGCCTTTAATTTTTATTTCTTTTTTATTTTATTTTATTTTTTTTTTCTTGTCTGGTTGGGGACGAGCGCGGGGCGGATGAAAAGATGTAGTAACTGGTCCGTTTAGTTGGTGATAGCATCCTTCACACTATCATTCTAGTTATGGTTTCAAGAATACAGGAAACCCTGTTACACTTCTACTTAATTTTTTTTATAAAGTTAAGTTATCGTAGCTGATACTGCTAGAACACTTTTGCGCCTGCGAATGATGTTATCCTGATAGTGATTGCGTGACGTTGCGTGAAGTAGTTTCTCTCCTACTCCTACCACCAAGATATATATATATCTGGAGCACACTATCACATACTAACGTCAAACTTAGTTACTACTAGTATACGTACTATAACCAGGCTATGCAGGCTATAGATTAATGTTGAGAGGCGTTTTCCAACAAGTCAGCCCTTGTAGCTCAGTGGTAGAGCGCTTCACTCGTATTCCAAATACTGCCATGAAGAGGTCCGCGGTTCAATCCCGCGTGGGGGCACTTGTTTTTTCGTTTCTCATTTTTGTCGGGGGCGCGCACACACAAACCATACTAGTAGACACAGCCAATCAAGAAACAGTCAAATTCTTTCTCTAGTTCCATGGATTGATATGTTAGATACTATTCCTGAGTCATTCATGGAGTTTGTCCGAACGTTCCCGCTGCTCCCGGTGCCAGAGACACATTTTTATTCCTGCAACAATCCTTACCAGGTAGTGCCGTGGTTCCGACTCTCCTCCCTCTCTTCCCTACCCAGGGTCATGGTTTATCTATTCGTTCATTTACGGACGATATTCATGACGGTTTGGAGGCCATTTCTGAGTACGCGTCTCAAGTTGAGACTCAGCTGCTCGGTGATCGGCCTTAATAAGGTAGCTTCTGTCCGTAGCACACTAGCCAATATAGGTGAAAAGTGGAGTCAACTTAACCCTGCAGCTCACTGGTCAGAGCTTCAGTTATACGTACCCATTCTCTCGTCCCATTCATTATACCTGGGATATGGCTTCGGTTCGAGTCCGAGCCGGGGACATCCTGCTTCTCTCCGGCTAATAAGCCATGTGGCCTTTATTTGCTACTAGGATACTCCTTCCCTTTTGATCATATGCCTTTTCTTCTGCCTCTCTCTGCTCTTAATAGGTAGATGTAAGAAGTGTATAGCTGAATGCGCTGCGGCGCCCTGCTCAACCGTTGCAGCCTCAAGGTACACTCCACCTGCGACGGAATAACACCGAAATATCCCCGCTATATTTAGCGTTTGGACGCGTTTCCCTTCAGTGAGATGCTTCCAAGTATGCATGACTCTGTATTATAGTTCCTTAGTAAACGAAAAGACGGTGTTGACTCACAGTCTCGTGTTTCGCACCGATGTGTGGAGTTGTGGAGCAGGACAAGAATGATCGCCTACTTTAAGAGCAATAAAGCGTTGTTTGATGCCCAATAGGCTGCCGTACACAGCATCTCAGACACTCGATGATTGAAGAGCCTCGAATCCAGATGGCTTGGCTCCCGGCTGAGGTGTTGCGGCATCGGGGGTTGCTAGAGTGTAAATTTGAATGACTCCCAAGGTCAAGTGAGAGCTGAAGGACCTCTTGGACTGAAGATCCCCTCACACTTTACTATGAGTCAAAGGCATATTGAAGATCGCTATGGTCGCGTATTCCTCCTGCCATTTCTTCTCAAGCCAAGCCCGTGTAGGCGACCAGCCGCGTGCGGAGAATGATTGTCTTGGAGCCGAACTGCACTGCTGCAGGTGCTCTTCGTGTCGAGTCATTAGACCCAAGTCGGTGACGGATCTTGACATATACAGTATTAAGATCGCCTTTCGCTTCGCCAGCTTGAATGCAATGCATCCAATTGCCGGCTCCAACTTCGAGATTGATAAGCACGTCATCCAGACTAAGCTTAATTGTGACAACAGGTCGGACGGAGATCGGAGTCATTGGAGTCTAGTGCCTGGGTATTAGCCAGATAAGAAGACGCTGCAAGTGCAATCACAGCAGGTTCGGAGATATCGTTGGCTGTCCATCGGTCAATATGGACGGAAAAGGTCAAAGCCAGCGGATGACGAATCAGTGATTGTTGGGAGGGCGAAGTCGGACTTCGGAGGGGTTTAAAGATACTTAACCCGAACGGGTCGCGCTCCTTCCGCTGCTCTGCTGCCTGCTGCCTGCATTTTCTCCCTTTCACCATACACAAGTGATGTTGTTCACTTTCTCTTAACAGCAGAGAGTTGAAGTACTCTGGGAAGTGCATTAGAAATCCAACCCCAGAGATTGCCTGATGGCCACTTCTCCATACGATAGCCCGGATGATCAGTCCAGGCAACTCCGCCTCTGACCTATTCTGGGCGGCTTGAGCCGGTCGGCTATGAACTCCACCCCCAATTAGGAATGTCTCGAGAGTCTGTCTCTACTGTCGCGCCGTGAACACCAGCAGTCGCCTCCGAGGCCATTGCGACCATGCTCATAGCTACATCCTGGACTGCATGTCTCAATGGACGTCTAATGAACTAAATCCACCCCAGGTTACAGTCATGATTCCATCCTTTCCACCCGTCATGATCGAATAGCACAATTGCCTCAATTGCCTCACTTGCCACGTTCTTCCTCCACCGGACATCCGACAGGAATTGAGGGAGATAAGCACAGCTGTGGCCAAGACACGCTACATCCTACGTTATCAGGGAAGGACAATGGACTGATGGGTCTCAATCTACATGCGCTCCATACAGAATCATGCATCGAGTCAACCACGGCGCGGGGAAGCCCGACGTTGCAACCGTCTGCTGCTGATCGTCTGTTGCATGAGCGGGGGAAATTGCACACAATGAGCCGACCATGCGCGCGCCCCCTTTGCGCCCTGCGAGAACATCAACGGAGGAAGACTCGTACTCCGCCGGACTACGAATGAGACACGCCAGACTTATCTGCGAGTTAGCAGCTTAATGATTTATGTTACCTAACATGTTCCGCATCTGGTGGTCCTACCGACGGCACGAACGATTTAGTCCTGGTCCTGCTTGGCGTCAGACAAGACGGTGGAAATTCTGTTGCGGAGGCCATTCCGCATGCCAATTGATTTGGGAGGCTTGCATGGAGGCAAGGGATTTCGCTTATTGACGGATCTTTGAGGATTGAAGCACTCTTGTCGATCACCATGGACAAACGCGAACAGGGACGAGGAGACGCAGAAAATTGGGAAAAGAACATGGTGAGGGGAAGCCACGAGGGAGTGGAAACTCTGGAAGGAATTCGGCCTCTCACCGGCAAACTCCGACTTCTTGGCGTCCCAAGATGTCGCCGGGCTCTGCGGGCGATGGGCCAATCACCGCCATCCTTCGCCATCTCGGCTGATGCTTAACGCTGCTTGTCAATTATTGTCATATCGATTGTTGCTTCCGGGCTCTGGGTTGCGCCCGGACTCTTTCCTCGGTTATAATGATTCAGAGTCTCACTTGACCACAAACTGGGCCCTGTCCTGGTGGCCATTGGTCCCAGGGTCAGGAACGGTCCCGCTTCGGCTACCTCTCTATATCTCCCACCACCAGGAGATATAAGGTGTGCGCCGTTTCCCTCGCGAGTATCTCGTGTGCTCTCATCTTTCCAGAGGAAAATCTGCGCTCAACTCCTCCCACTCGCCCTTGGGATTTTCCTGCCTGGTCCCGCAAAGATGTCTGGAGATCATGAGGCTGAGATCACTCAGTAAGTGTCCACTACCTTATTTTGTGTTTGATTTTTTACCCTTCCTGTGGGCTTGTCCATCTCCCGTGTCGGTGACTCGTGAGTCACCATTCTGTCACAGCTCACTCGAATTTCGCTCGCCCTCATCCCCTTACTAATGAATATCCCAGGCCGCATCAACAGGGCCACGGCACCGAATCGATTGTGAACGAAAAGGCGGCATTCACAGAGGCTAGCGAAAAGGGCCTCGGTCCCACCCCCGACGGCGAAGAACCCAACGCTGAGGAAGTCGCTACTCTTCGCCATGTTGCGGAGCATCTGCCTATCTCCGCATGGCTTGTCGCCGTTGTCGAGCTGTGCGAGCGTTTCACCTACTACGGAATGTCTGGCATGTTCCAGAACTACGTTGATCGTCCTCTGGACGGAAGTGAGGGACGCGGTGCCCTAGGCATGGGTCATCAAGGAGCCACTGGTCTCACCACTTTCTTCCAGTTCTGGTGTTATGGTTCGTCTACTACTGCATAAATACGCGGGATCGCTGGCTGACATCTGCCCCAAGTTACCCCCATCCTCGGTGCCATCGTCGCTGATCAGTACCTCGGTAAATATAAGACCATCGTGGTTTTCTGTATCATCTACTTGGTCGGTCTGCTCATCTTGGTTTGCACGTCCATCCCGACCGCTCTTCACCATGGAGCCGGTGTTGGTGGCTTCATTGTGTCCATCCTGATCATCGGTCTGGGAACGGGTGGTATCAAGAGTAACGTTGCTCCTCTGATTGCCGACCAGTACAAGCGCAAGAAGATGGCCATGTCCACCACCAAGAAGGGTGAGCGGGTTGTCATTGACCCTTCCCTCACGATCCAGCGCATTTACATGATCTTCTACGGCTGTATCAACGTGGGATCGCTGTCTCTGTTGGCCACTCCTTACATGGAAAAGTACATTGGCTTCTGGTCTGGTTATCTGCTTTGTTTGTGCATGTTTGCCGTCGGTACCATGGTGCTCATCTTCGGCCGCAAGTACTACGTTGTTCGCCCTCCCCAGGGCTCCATCATCACCGACGCCTTCAAGGCTCTGTGGATCATGGTTGTCAACCGCAACATGGATGCCCCCAAGCCCAGCTGGCAGGCGGCCAACAACGGCACCAGGACCAACCTGCCCTGGGACGATCACTTCATTGACGAGCTCAAGCGTGCGTTGGTCGCTTGCCGTGTGTTCTGTTTCTACCCGATCTACTGGGTTGTTTACGGCCAGTTCTCCAGCAATTTTGTCACCCAAGCCGGTCAGATGGAAGGTCACGGAATCCCGAACGACTTGATGCAGAACTTTGATCCGATCTCCATCATCGTCTTCATCCCCGTCCTGGAGACCCTGATCTACCCCCTGCTGCGTCGCTTGCGCATTCGCTTCCGTCCGATCACCCGTATCTCCCTTGGTTTCGTTGTTGCTTCCTTGGCGATGATGTACGCGGCCATTGTGCAGCACCTCATTTACTCCGCTGGGCCTTGCTACGAGCACCCCGGATGTGCTGCTTCGGAGGTTGATGGGTCCACCACCGGCAACCACGTGCACATTGCCATCCAGACGCCTGCCTATGTGTTCATTGGTCTGTCCGAGATTTTCGCGTCGGTGTCTGGATTGGAGTATGCCTACACCAAGGCTCCTCCGTCCATGAAGTCCTTTGTGCAGTCCATGTACCTGCTCACCAACGCCTTTGGTTCCGCTCTGGCCGAGGCACTGACCCCTGCTGCCTATGACCCGGCCATCATGTGGATGTTTGTGGGTCTGGCTTGCGCCTCCTTCGTTGCCGGTATCATCTTCTGGCTGGTGTACCACCATCTGAACGACCAGGAAGACCAGCTCAATGCGCTCGACGCTGATGACCCGGATACTCCTGTCGCGCCCCCGGCCTATGAGGAGGAGAAGAAGGAGCAAGAGCACTGAAAAGCACTCACTCCGCTCGATACCCCCTCCTATTATTTCTAATGTACTATAATATTTTTGACCCGCAGTTCTCGTGTATACGCGCTGAACGTGATATATGCGAAGTCGCGCAGGCCCGCGTAAGAGCACCTGCAGAGCAGATGAGAATGAGAAAGGGCGGGTGTACATACGATGTACGGATTATGCATAGTTTTTTTATTTTTCCCCTCATTACCTTAGTTAGTATTATGATTAGCATAGCAATATATAATTTATGGCGTTGCCTGGCTGAATTTGTGTGCCTACACTGTAGTCATCGGCGGAGGGTCATCCGTCCGTCCGCCAGTAGAGCAGACCCTGCTGGCAGGCAGGTAGGGTGCCCACACCACAAAAGCCGACGACCCACGGCGTGCCCTGAAATTATTCTTCGAACACAACCCACACCAAATTAGACTTACTTTTTTTTACTTACTTCGGACAAGTGGAGTGGAGTGGACCTTGCTTATCTGCTCTACTTACTTAGCTCCTCGTATTCTCGTAGACCCAGTTGCCGTTGAATGAATAATGGGGGTTAGGTAAAGTAATTGCAAATTTTATCGGATGCCAGCCGAGAGAGAGAGACAGTACATAGAAATAGGTGAGTACTTCGCATAGCGAGTAAGTAAGTAAGTAAAGAAAGGATTTATTGTAAATATGACTTAAGTTAACTGTTTCTTGATGGTGATTGATTATTATATAGTAATGTATGTATGTAAGTAAGTATGTATGTATAGCCTAGAATAACTATAGTAAAAGTTAGGAAATGAAATAAAATTAAATAGAATGTGGTATGTTAAAACTGACTGGTATGTATTGTATAATGACTCAAATAAATAAACTCCACGGAATAGAACGGAAGAGGAAAAATGATGGAAAGACCGGCAAAGTCGGCGTTCTTCGGGTTCTTAGAGAATTTTGTGGCAGTTCAGTTCAGTTCAATCTGGGGGGGGGGGATGATTTTCGGATGTCTGGCCGGCTGGCGGGGGTGCATACTGCAAATTGTTCTGTGTGCTGGTAGGTAGAGTAGGTAGAGAGGTAGAGTAGCTATGGATGGACCCTTACTGCAGTTCCATGGATTCGGAACACTGGGTTCTGTGGATGGGGGAGGATTTGAAGAATTCTAGACCGTTAGTTGGCTTGGGTTTGGTTTGCTGGGTCTGTGGCTCTCGGGCTGGGTGGTTGTGGTTGTGGTAATGATTGCGCTTGTGGGTATGATGTTAATCGATCACTTTGTACTCCGTATAGTGTTCAATGATGGCTCTATGGAAATTGTCTGTATGTTGTGTAATTTGTTCTTCATTTCGGGTAGTATTGTAGGTCTGGTGGTTGTCGCAGTACTGGCTACTTTCAGGGTCATTGATTGGTGATGAAGGGTCAGTTGGCTTCATTCAAAACAGGATTGACTTTGTAGAGTTAGCAGGGAGACATTCGACTTTATGTCATCTAGACCCTTATTTTAATGTCACAGTATATGTCTGCTTGCTTAAGGTACTTTCATGTAGGTACCAAATGCTCATTGAATATATCTTCTAAATCCCTTGCTGCGACATACTAGATTTAAGGTTCATCGCATGAACCCACCTAGTGATTTCTTCCAAGTGATAAGCCTTCTGACCACGCGACACTATGCTAGGGATAGATTTGGAGTAACGTGAGAGTTCACTGCCTGGGAGCATGTGACCTCTTGAATGAGTGGAAAAACGGCTGCCTGAGGTTTATTGACTAGCCCCGACCGAGGGATTGAAATGAATGGGGCAGTGTCTGGTTCACCCACTTGAGGCTCAGCTCAAACTGAACTACTCTGATATGTGGCGGTGGGCACATTGCCATTTAGACACCGACATTTCCTTCCTAGAAGCATGATTCGAAGCATGGATGCATGCACCTGCACCGCGAATGGAGTCCGGTGTTGCTAAAATTACGCTCGCTTGTGGGTTAGAACAGGCACACGCTGGCCAAGCTAGATCGCGGCTGTGGAGCTGCTGTGGAAATTTCCATTGTGCTGCGCTGAGCTGAGACGAGCTCAGCTGCTTACGCCGTTGGTTACTGTGTTGAAGTGCTCAGCAACGGTATTGTGTGAAATTGCCATTGTCCGACAATGTTAGGATTAAACATGCATGATGGCATGAGAGTAAATGAGATGAAACTTGACGGCGTGGTTCTGCCGTTGCTGAAATTGTAGAGTGGGGAAACGGCGTCAGGGGAAATTGAGCTAACATATTTGTAGTCAAAAGCTTTATTACTTTTGATTCATGGCGAATTTTTATCGCTGGTTATTTCGTTGCCAGCGGTTGCCAGTGTATGGGGTAGATTGGGCGCGTAGTCATGGAAAGCTGGGTGGCAGGTGGGGAGACCGTTGAAGCTCAACCCTGCCAGGGCCCAGATCATGGTTTCCAGATCACATCCTATGGAGTAGGTACAGATCAGTGACGTGCAGGTTGCCGCTCTACGGCTCCAGGAACGTAATTAAGTAGCTCGTGCTGGATCCTCAAGGGTCAATGGTTGGACGTATTTGGGACGAAATCGAGTACGCACACAGTTGCGAGTTGTTGGATGAGCAGCACAAAGTGGATAGCTTTCTAAGACATAGTGAGATAGTTGCGATTAGTCCCTTTGTTCTGTCTTGGGATCTTCTTTCTTAAATCTTAGCTTCACAATCTAAACTTGGCAATAAAAAGCAAAGATTGTCGCAAGTAAGGGTGTGATTCTGTCAGGGCCATTCCTGATTTCCGGTGTAGAGAATCCGTCTGATGAAGAAAGTACTGGGTATAGCATCAAGTGTACTCCCGATGATCAGCAGCACTTGATCTACCTCGATCACTCATGGTATCATTTCGAGCCTTCAGCCCAGCATCGCAATTCCACTTTTTGGACCCGACCGAGTTGTTTCAGAGGGCATAGACGGTGAATGTTTTGATTATCATCATCGTGGGAAAAAGGGGACTCGAGGATCGCCGGCCGGTCTGTGCTCGAGCTAGACGCCCCCTACTAATAATATCGAGAAAAAGCCATCAATGCTAGGTTTCACCCCTGATTGACCAGAGCAGACAGAAGAGAGAAAACAGCTTCACTTTCCTCTTTCTTTCTTGATTCCCTTCTCACCCCCAGTCGTTCCTTACTTTCCCCCTCCCTTCTTCTGGAAGTTCAAGAAGAAGTTGTTTGAGTTGAGTGACATATTTGCCATCTGCGGGCCAGAGCCAGTCAACCGTCGAGGGCTTCCCTTTGGATTTGCAGCCGCCAGTGGCTCAGCCGCCTTGTCTCACCCGTCACTCTTTCGTCCTTCCCCCATTCTTTCTTTCTCACCTCATTCCCTCACTGCTGCTTTTTTTTCTGCCTGCCTGCCTGCTACCTCTTCGTTCCCTTTCTTATCCCCTCCTCCACCTTTTACCGTTTCACCCGTATTTGCAGTCCCCGACTCTATCTACCCACGAACACTCTTAATCCTCCCTTTCTGCGGTAGTCGCAATTCCATCGCCGTTCTCGTTTCCCGTACAACTCCGAAGCTACGTCCACCTGTCGGAAGTACTCGCTGCGACCAGTGACCCACGCTGCATCTCGACCTCAGTGTCTGAATTGACGGCTGTACGATCAATTTGACTTGAAAAGACCCTCAGGACTACAATAATTAAAATCACCATGAGTGTATGTCGAAACACCCAGAACGTCATCATCCTGACCCTTGCCGTTACCCCACCCCTTATTACCCACCACTCGCGCATCGTCAAACAGTCTGCTAACTTGTCCATTCAAAGTACGGTGGAAACCAGGGTGGCTACGGCCAGTACAACCCCTACGGCCAGCAAGATGCCAACCCCTACAGCGACGCCAATGCCATGGAGCAGGGCAACGGTAGCTATGGTAAGCGCACCAACGTTCAGCCTCTCTGTCTGACCCGACCATGGTCTAACCTGCGATCGCACATCAGAAATGGGCTCTTACAACCAGCCGGCCGACGCGACGACGCTGCTGAACAAGTGCAGAGAGATCAACGACGGTATTGCCGATCTCCGCGCCAAGCGCGAGGGCCAGCTTGCCGCCGCTCAGAACGCTTTGCTCGACTCGAGTACCGGAAAGGAGGACCAGGTCGCTCGCCAGACTCTGGACTACATCGAGGATGAAGTGAACAACGGATTCCGTTACCTCCGCGATCTTCTGAAGAAGGTCAAGCAGACCCCCGGCTCCGGAGACAGCCGTGTGCAGACCCAGATCGACGTCACTAGCCGGAATCTCCGTCGCGAGATCGAACAGTACCAGAGATGCCAGTCCGACTTCCAGAAGCGCCTGAGGGAGCAGGTTCGCAGACGTTATGAGATCGCCAACCCCGAAGCTTCCCCCGAGGAGATCGAGCAGGGTGTGGACAATGTCTTGTTGGGCCAGGAGCAGAGCTTCCAGGTATGTTCTTTCGAGCGGGTTCAGCAAATTCCTGCTAACTTTCCGACTTAGGTTACGGGTAGCCGGACTAGACAGGCCAACGACGCCAGGCAGGCCGCTTTGGAGCGATCGGCCGCCATTCGCAAGATCGAGCAGGATATGATGGAGCTTGGCCGCCTGTACCAGGAAGTGGCGGAGCTGGTCCACCAGCAGGAGCCTGCTGTGGAGCAGATCAACCAGGATGCAGACAATGTTGCGCAGAACGTTTCGAACGCGAACAACCAGATCACGGAAGCTATTGCCAGCGCTCGTCGGGCGAGAAAGTGGAAGTGGTATGCTCTGCTGGTCGTCAGTAAGTGTCCCGATGCGATACCCAACTTCATAGGCCAGGCTAACACTATCTCCAGTTCTCATCATCGCCATTGTCGTCGGTGTTGCCGTCGGTGTCACGGAAGCCAACAAGAAATAGAGCCCGTGATTCTTATATCACCTATGCTATGCTTGGCTTGATCTGATGACTCGACCTTGCGCTGATATAAATGCTTCGCCATGCCAATGCCCTTCATCTTCAGATACCCTCCGAGGTATTAACCTTGTCCTGCTTCTGTTCGCTTTCCGTTCAAGTTTACGCAAGGCTGTAACGACCTCTTTATCGTTTGTGTTCTCGTCCGATGCTCTACGTCTTGTCTACGCTTACGGTAAGCCGAGCCAGTCGAGGATCGTTCGCTTGCTGTGATTCTTCCCGTTGTTATACCACTTTGTCGTTTTGCCTTGTCTTGGTTGAAAAGCACCCACCTGCTGAATCGTCTCCTATGTCTGCTTGATCGCTCGTCGCTGTTTTGTCTGTATCCACTGATCGGTCGTGTATAGTTTCTGCGTCTTGGGGCGTATGCGGCCTGATGAATTACTGTCGCTGCACGTTGGCTAGGATGCGCTTGATGCTATCGCAGTGTATATATTAGAGTCTCTTCGTTGCCCCTACCTTTGGCGCTAGAACATGTAATAATCCGACTACCTTATAATAATATCCCTTGATGTATGTACGAACTGTATGCAGAACGCACTCGATTGACCGTATAATGCATTTATTCATGGGGTATCGCAGATCAAGTCAAATGAAAGAACATCATCAACCCTTGCTGTATCAAGTAGTATATGCTGTATGTTGTATATCAAGCCTTCGCCGCCTTCCTCTCCTCCTCCCGCTGTTCCTCCTCCGGCGTCTTTGTCCGCAACTGCAGCGCATGGATGCCACCCTCGCGACTCATCTCCTCCTTCAACAGGCCATAGACCATACGATGGCGCGCAGGCTGGGGCTTCGACTGGAATGAGGGCGATGTGATCGTCACACTAGACGCGAATATAAGTCAGATCAACACGTATATCAAGAGAAGATGGGACGTATTGACTCACTGGAAATGGGTCTCTTTCGAAGTCGATCCGCGCATGGCGTTATGGTGTGCGTGCAGATGCGAATCATTGCGGATGATGAGGGTGGAGGGGGTGAAAGCAGTTGTAAGCTTTTGAAACATTATTAGTTAGTATGAGAATGTATAATCTGATACTCGTATGTAGGTGGGTATTGGGACATACCTTCTCCCGGATGAGATCTTCGACGGGGGTTGCGGAGGTAGAAGCCATTCTGGTAGCAGTAAGGGAGAAGACGCGGCGGGGGAGGAAGCCGGAGAGGGAGGCGCGGGGGAGCATTGAGGGGGAAGCGGTAGTCCCGGTGGAAGATAAGGCGGGGGGAGGGGAGAGATATGATGCTGAGTAGTAAGTTATTGAGAGATACGGAGGGGGGGGGGGGGGGGGGATTCTTTGATGCTGAGCGATGAGAATCGGGAGACCGCAATTGGCCACGGAGTGGGCGGGTTACTGCTTTGGGAATGGTGCGGAGGTCGGGGGTTGTCCGTTGCTTCGTCACATTTAGATGCCTTTCAATACTATATCATCACCCTGGCAGGCGTGTTATTCTTTCTTCCGGAAAGACAAGCATCGGCCAATCTGACTGGTTCCATGCAAAGCTATCACCATCCTTCCTAACCTTAACATGCTGCTTCCAATGCATCTCCAACCACCGATAGCCGGAGCAAAGCAAGTGCCGTTGCCGAGACCGCAAAGCTCCGATGCGCTTCCTCCCCAAATGACATCAGTTCCGTCGCGCAATCCGCCTTTATCTTTTGCCTTGGGTATCGATTAATCCATTGATTGACGTGGGTTACCCTGCGCACCGAGGCAATTATAAACTCGAGATTTCTTGACGGCTGCTGGGTCATGTCATACGGTCCTTAAGCTTCTTCCCAGTCATGTCCGGACGCACCTTGATGCCGCTCCTCTCCCGGGGCTCGATTGCTTCTCCGTCTCGTCAACATTCGCTCCACACCCTTCTAGCGTGGAGATGTGGTGCCCCTGCGAGCCGTTCCCGATCTTTAGTGACACCTCTCGTTCGTCGATCGATCTCGACCTCCCTGCCGAATCTACCTCTCTTCCGCGCCCTCCAGGACCACGATCAATCAAACCTGGCGGTGGTTCATAGCGCGTCTGCTCGATCGTTCACATATGGGAATTTGGTTGCCGATGTACTGCAAGCTAAGGAACGGCTGCTTCAGTCTGCTGGAGGTGGAAAAGATGGGCTGTCTGGAGAGAGGGTCGCGTTTCTGGCTGAGAATAGCTACGACTACGTAGGTACTGTGACCATCTCATGTATGATGACAATGGGATACTCGCTGACAAACTGTAACTAGTGACGCTGCTCTCCATCCTCGCCAGCGATGCCATTGCCCTTCCACTGTCCCCCGCCTTCCCCGTCGGCGAATTGAAGTATATCATGGATAACTCGCAGGCCAAGGTGCTTCTTGCGACGGAGAAGTATGCAGCGAAGGCCCAAGAACTCGTCAAGGCGGGACTGGATCGGGAGCCTGTCCTAGACATCAAGGAGAAGATCAAAGTGGGCGCAAACAACACGGGCTCAGTGTCATTGGAGGATATCGGAGTGGAATCGCGCGGTGGAATGATGCTCTACACATCCGGCACCACCAACAGACCCGTAATGACCCTCTCATCCCTCCCCAAATCTATACAGAACTAACAACCCCCCAGAAAGGCGTCCTCATTCCCCAATCCGCCCTAACAGCTCAAGCGACCTCCCTCCTTCAAGCCTGGAACTACACCCCGCAAGACCGCCTCCTCCACCTCCTCCCCCTACACCACATCCACGGCACCGTCAACGCCATCGTGACGCCCATCCTGGCCGGCTCCTCCATCGAATTCATGTTCCCCTTCAACACCGACGCCGTGTGGACGCGCCTCGCCGCCCCATTCCTCCCCCAAACCTCCCCATCCACATCACGCAGCAAAATCACCTTCCTCACAGCCGTGCCCACAATCTACAACCGCCTCCTAACCTCGTTCCCCAACCTCCCCACACCCACCCAAGAAGCCGCCCGCAAGGCCATCTCCCCCGAGAACCTCCGCCTCAACATCTCCGGCTCCGCGGCCCTCCCCACTCCGACAAAAAAGGCCTGGTCGGACCTCAGCAACGGCAACGTCCTCCTCGAACGCTACGGCATGACCGAAGTCGGTATGGCCATCAGCTGCGGGCTCGACTTCACCGACCGCGTCGACGGCAGCGTCGGCTGGCCCCTACCCTCGGTAGAAGCCCGTCTCGTGGACACCGAAACAAATGAAGTCATCAACCCGGGCGAAGAGCTCGACACCACCACGGGCCGTGAACGCGAAGGCGAGATCCAACTCCGCGGCCCCACCATCTTCAAAGAATACTGGGCAAACGACAAAGCCACGCAAGAATCCTTCGTCCCAGATGAAACAGACCCCAAAAGACCGTGGTTCAAAACCGGCGACGTCGCCGTCCGCAGACCCGTCCCCACCGCCGGCCACGGCACAAGCGGCGAATGGGCCCAAGGCCCAATGTACTTTATCCAGGGTCGTCGAAGCGTCGATATCATCAAGACAGGCGGAGAGAAGGTGAGTGCGTTGGAAGTCGAGAGGGAGTTGCTTTCACTGTGAGTGCCCCTTTTCCATCTACAACATTAACCACCACCCATCCATGAAATACTAATTGTTGATGGAGTCCCCAAATCGCCGAAGCTGCCGTCGTAGGCCTTCCCTCGGAACAATGGGGCCAAAAGGTCGCCGCGATCGTGGTCCTCAGACCCGAGTATAGAACGAGCGGGGGTGGGAAGAATGGGGATAAGCCCTGGGGCGCGATGGATATGCGCAGGGCGTTGAAGGATCGCTTAGCCGGGTATAAGATGCCGCAGGAGATGAAGGTCCTGGAGGGGGTGATTCCGAGGAATGCGATGGGGAAGGGTGAGTTTATTCCGTTTACTTTCTTTTTACTCCCTTTTTTTTCTTTGTGTTGGTTGATTGAAAGGGGTGGGGGGAGGTTGGAACATAGTTATTTGGTTTTATATGATGGTTATACTGACTATGTGTGGGATTTAGTTAATAAGAAGATGCTGGTTAAGGAGGTTTTTGGAATTTAGATGTGGTATGTGTGATATGGGATAGATAGTACGGAGTACATATGGAAGAAGGACAGTGTGTAATCAAAGGGTGAATATAGATGGATGAGATTGAATTGATTAAGTATTGGTTGGATTGTATGTATGATCTGAAGCCATTTTCTCTGCTCATTGAGAGTGTATACGTAGACGCCGCGTATACTTAGTTAGCAGCAGGGATGCATGCTGAGTCCAGTCCAGTCCTTGATCTGATTGGTATTACCAAAGGGATAACTCTAGATCTTACTTGACAATTGACTTAAGATGTAGCAGTTGTAGAAAAACATGAGGGAATTAGATGATCGTCGAGCAAAGCTGGCACCAATTATCCCATATTTATGTTGATGTTTTGAGTCAATCCCCTGTAACTTTGAGGCCTCCTCTCGATAAGTGAAGTAAGTCCATGTGGAAATAATCGGTGAGCATATACTATACAGAGCCGTACTGGCAACATTCTCAGCCTAACATAGCATCTTGGTCCGAGTATCAACCCAAGTAGGGTAAGTTCCTGCGAGACTTTTTTTGCTAATCTTCTGTAACTCATGGCAAACATCTTCATCACCAGTTTGTCTGAATTCTCCACCGCTACTTACTGTTTACCAACCCCTAGTTGGTCTATAGCCACTCGGAAATCCCGACCACATCAACGGTGGCGGAATGGGCCGCCTGTTGGCGTGATTGCTGCCGTTATCCTGCATGAGACAATCTTCCATTTTCAGGGATTGTCTGTTATGGTGAACCATGATTTGATTGATTTGGGCCGTTGAGAGAAGAATTCTATAACTTAGTATGCATTTGATTAGAAAGTACTGTCTACCATATGGAGTACTGCAAGGCATCGCTTCTTACTAATATCTCAACGGGCCTATTTGCATATCGGAGAATATGGCATACGTGTGCGTGTCATAGCATAGCCTCATGCATGTGGCTTATGTCACTAGTGCTAGTCCTGCTCGTAAATCATGCAGTCCTGAAGCAAACCTGCGTCGGATGTCCTGGACAATATTCGGAGAATATGCGGTGGCGGCTACAGCGGATGTCCGCTACAATCAGGTCGGACGCAGGCCGAAACCCTAGAGTGATTGCAAATCTGATATTGGAGCGGTTTATAACACAGTTCCTGCATTCATAGGGTCAGTTAGCTGCTTAACCGTAATCTGTTGAGAGCAGCCGGAAGACGGATGACACGCTGGATATAACATTGCCAGTCCAGATCCAATGACACTGGTGCACAACTAGGCTGAACGCTTATAGTCCTGGATAAAAGGTATTAATATAGCATGCCCCTCTTACAACAAAGCCATTGTGTCGGTCAGACTATCAAAGCCTTAATCACAATCATGATCAGCTTACGAGTACTCACCTAGGCCCTAGCACAGCTGCAAGCCAGATGTCTGTTCGCTCAGCCACCTTCTGCTCAGTAGCACCCGAACATAGCAACGTATTCTCGACAAGTGGGTTACTCGAAATTGGGATCGTCGACGACTATTTGCTATTCCTGGTGACACTATTCCGACCCTGGTGATTCTCTGGCGCTATTTCGGTGTATCCAGATCCTCATTCGAGACTTGTGTCTAACCGGGATATAACGTAGCTTGTTTAGCCGCAGACTTTCAATGGAAGCAGAAAGCCACACGATAGGTACCTTCTGGACAACCGCCTATCGTAAACATGAGTCAGGTCTGGCTGAATGCGCCGAAGTCCAACGATTCAGTGCATTGGACGGACTTTCGCCCCGACTTAAAGGTCTGAAGATAAGAGCCTCTTAGCGTTGCTCGTCAAGGGGATTCGCAAGATGTGCATGCCTTCTGAGCAGGGACTGTTACTATATATGGGTAGCTGGTATCACTCAAAGCTACACGGATAAGGCGCGGTTTTGATGAAAAATAAAGATAAACTGACGGTTTTCATGATGTACACCCTTCTTCTACCACTCTTGGTTTTCTTTTGTGTCTCCGCGAGAGCAATATACCGTATCTATTTTCACCCCCTTAGCAAAATCCCAGGGCCCAAACTAGCAGCTGCCACTCACCTGCATGAATTCTACCACGATGTTGTTCGTGGTGGAAAATTTATATGGGAAATCGAGAAGATGCATAGAGCCTACGGTATTCTACCGGACCACTATTAATGCACCTTACTGACAATAATTGAAGGCCCAATCGTGCGAATAAACCCGCGAGAAGTCCATATTGCTGACCCATCTATGTATGACGAGATCTATGCTGGATGTGGCCGGAAACGCGAGAAAGATCCGCGCATGGTATCATCATATGCATCATCATATGCGGCGCTGGCAACCGTCGATCATGATCTTCACCGTGCTCGTCGAGCCCCGCTGAATCCGTTCTTCTCGAAGAAGGCTGTACTTGAGCTTTCAGATGTCGTTCAAGAGAAGGTGTCCCTTTTAGCATGGCACCTGAAACGGGTACATGCCGAGCAAGCGGTGTTCGCGTTAAGTACAGCCTTCACTGCACTCACAGGAGATATCATCACACACTATCTTTATGGAAAAGACAATGGGTATCTGAGAGAAAGGGACCTGGTGAAAAGGAACATTGTATGGGAAATCTTGGCCAAGGGCACTAGTGCCTGCCATTTGTTCCGGTTTTTCCCAATTATTCCAGCCCTAACAAAAGCTTTGCCAATACGGCTCATGCGCCTTGTTCGTCCTGCATTGTCAAATGTGTATGACTTGCAGGAGCAGATTTCCCGTCAATCAGACGAGGCTGTAGCGCTTGAAGGCGCAAAACGAAGGACAATATATAATGCTCTGAGCGATCCTTCTGTGCCTGCGAGCGAGCGGTCTGTAGCTCGCCTGCGCGATGAGAGCTTTATTGTCCTCCTCGGGGGTACAGAAAGTACGGCAGCGACATTGACGCTTGCGACGTATCATCTTCTGAGAAACAAAGACTTCTATTCAAAGCTCCGGCAAGAACTGCAGCAAGTCATGCCTAAGCCAACTAGTGAAGCCAATTGGGCACAGCTGGAGCGGCTGCCATACCTAGTACGCACTCGAGACCAATATATATGCGCGCATTGGCACCAAGCACTAACTTGTTGTGATGGATAGACCGCCGTCATCAACGAAGCTCTCCGGCTTGGGGCAGCAGCTTTGAGACCAGCGCGAGTGGCACCAACAGAGACACTATATTACAAGGGATACGAGATCCCGCCTGGCGTAAGCATGACTGTTCGAACAGGAGGATAATGAACTGACACTTCTTCTATGAAGACTCCGGTCAGCACAATCAGTTATTTCATCCACCGTAATCCCGCGATTTTCCCAGATCCTGAAAGCTTCACCCCCGAGCGATGGATCCAAGCTGCCGAACGGGGGGACAACCTTACCAAATACCTAGTTCCTTTCACACGGGGCAGTAGAATCTGTATTGGCATGAAGTGAGTGCAAACCCTCACTATCAATAACAAAAGCTCATTATCGATCAGCCTGGCCTATGCAGAATTGTACATGACACTGGCAGCCATTGTGCGTCGCTTTGACCTAGAATTATGCGAGACGCGTCCTGAGGATATGGAATTCACGCGGGAAATGGTAGTACAGCGTCCGGAAAAAGGAGTGTGGACGCTCAAGGTTCGAGTAGTGGGAATCAATGAGGCGTGACGAGGAGTGTGGTCACATGAGCTAGTTGCTCTTGCCTATTAAGGATATCGACAGAAGATCTATTTGCAAGCTATGGTATACATAATATAAACACCAGGCGCTTCGTATATTACCAGAGATGAGAGCGTTCAAAATGATGCTGTTACCGGAACTCCACCAACAAAACCGATGGCCAAAACTCGATATTCACTGTACAAATGCATCACTTCCATTCCCCCACCCGTTCAAACGGCTTAACGACCCGCGTTGCTTCCATGACCACAAGCGAGCGTGCCATATCAACGGCAGTAATCTTAGCATCCACGATACTGAGGATGTCCAGGTCAGGTGCGTCTGACATCTCTTCAGGTATTACGACCTGGCAGCGAACTCCCAGGGACGTGATAACAGCAGCGTATCCGTTTCCGTATGGCGTACCAGCCATGGAGGTGCTGCTGTATGGCCGCTGGATCAAGCACTCGAATGTCTCGGGTAGTGGGCACTCGGAGAAGTAGAAGGCGCGGAACAGAAGCATGCATGCCCAGAATTGCTTCGAGGCTAGGTCACATTCCCGGATGCGGTTGCGCTTCCACCGGGACCGAGAAATATATTCATCAACGTATTCACGAGAGAAAGGCAGAGCAGGCTCATCCGTCTGGGCGTCCAGGCGGCGGCCATGCTCGTGTTCGAAGCGAAGCGCGGCCTCGATTTGATAATGAGCAAGGACGTCTGTGTACCGCCGCAGGGGACTGGTTGCTTTGACATAGGTGTCAAGTCCAAGAGGCGTATGATGGAGGGGACTGGATGAAGAGATACCCTTCGGAGCTGCCAATTGCAACCAAGCTTGCCCTCCGTATTGGGAGAGGTTCTCGTTTGTTACTTTAGGGTATTCCGGATGATAGTACGTGCCGTCGTAGACAGAAGGGATGTTGCGTTCGGCCAGCCATTTTCCGGAGACCCAACAGGCCAGGTTCATTAGAGTCGAGATAAGGTTGCGCTTCGTCATATCAGGGACTTCGTGAGGATCAACTTGTTGCTGGGCCAGTTCAATGACGGGATCGCCAAGAACGTAACGCCCTTCCGTAACCTTCATATTGGAAGGATTCAAAGGCTCTGTCCCTGCAGTCATTGAAAGAGAGATGTCGGGAGATGAAGGCCATTCCATGGCGCCGTTCTTACGTCGGTGTTCCCGGAACGCCAGCATCAACTGTCTCAACGTACGGAAATTGGACTCATCCTTCTCATCTACTTCCTCTTGTAACTCCTCACGCAAATTCCGCTTCGGCACTTCTCCCCCTACTCTCAAAGGCTCTAATTGCTTTTCGGAACTAGGTTCGAAAAGACTGCGTAGCTTGCCGTGTGTTATATAGATGACGTTCCTGGCCACTCCATTCGTGATGTCGGTATCAAGAACGTCGCCCTGCAAATTCATCTTCGCGCTGAAGGTGAGAGTTGGACGGCCTGGGGCCAAACTGAAGTGCTTCTGCGTGAGGGAGCTCGGAATCATAGGATATGTACGCTCTGGGGCATACATCGTCTGGAGGCGGGAAGCGGCGTACTGCATAACCTTGCCTTCAGAATCAAGGAATGCAGTAGGGTTGGCCACATGTACACGGACCCAGAATGTATCGTCTGATCCCGGAATGCGCTCGAGAGAAACACCGTCGTCAATCTCCTGAGCAGTGGCATCATCCACACAATAAACCGGTAGGTCGCCCCAGTCAGTACGCACATCTTTCATCTTATCAGGAAGCTCCTGTGAGTTGAGCTTCTCGCACTCTTTTTGGACTTCCTCCCACGCCGCATCCGAGTTGGGAGAAATGCCGTGGCCGGGAAGGGCCAGACCTTGGTCGAACAAGCGAATATTCTCCCACGGGTAGAAAACACCCAGTTCTTGTAGGAAAAGAGTTGCCGTCATGGGATTCAGTTCCACAGCGCCATACATACCTGTACTACGCATTATATGCGAACCGGCCGAGCGCATGGTCCCAGACGTCATTCTGCGCGGCGGAAGACACCATAGTTGTAAGTATTCGATGATCATAAGATCGGTGTCACTGAACTTTTCTGTAACCATTTCACGATAGACCATATGCTTGCCATCCTGGTCCGGAGTGAATCGATGAGCACTTGGACCGACGCAAGCCATGGTAGTTGGCGCGCGCGCGGTTCGGCTACGCTTGATGAGACGCTGGGCCTTCTGGACGAATTTCTGTAGAGGATGGTCCTTCAAATTGGGAAGCCCCTTACCATTTACATTCTGGTAAAGGTGATCTTGATGCTCGTGAGCCCACGTGGTGACCGTGTCCAGAACTCTAGCGATCCGTCTGGGTTTGACTAGGTAATGGTTGGCAAAAAGCGAACTCCGATCATACTCGATGAAGAAAGCATTGGCGTGAGCGACGCGATGGACGAGGAACAAGAGCACATCGTTCAGCTGATCTTTCTCAATATCAAGCGCCTTGCAGGTCAGCTCCTCCAACGTATATTCACGGTAATTTTCCTCATCGGCCACAATGTCATGGATGCTGTCCAACCGGGCTGCATTTGCGCGGTACAGCTCCTGCGCGTCTTGGTCGAAGGTGTACATTTTCTTGAGAAGATCCGCACCAACATTTCTCGGGACTCCACCTTCGGTCACAGATTGGAACTCTGTCTTCATCTGAGCGGCAGCGCCAGGAACGTGTGGGAGCAGGGGCGCAACCATTTCTGGAGGCACAAACCCCTTGACGACATAGTCAAGATCCTTGGCAAAAGCAATCCGCCATTTCCCTCTGTCCGTATAGAACTGTTGCTGTTTATGGATGGAGCGGATATAGATGGCAAATGTCAGGATACCGTCGACGCTGTTCCGCAAGAAGTTAGCGGCCATAATCTTGCACAGCAGCACAAGTCAATTGCACTTACGCAGTCATTGCCACCAGATCACCCGGCTCCAAGTATTGATTCAAGCCCTCTCCTTCGTCGGCTGAGTTTGTGAATTCCAAAGAATCATCTGCCGCTCGTAGAGCATCGCTTCCGGCATCGCGAGCCTCACGGTTGTCGTTGAGCATGTTTCCCACCCATGGTGCCGACGCGTCCAGTGAATTCGAAGTCCCCGGGCCGCGGACAGGGTCCAAGTCGTTGGAATGGGACTGTTGCCATTTCCGCAGATAGTTTCGGATGTCCTTGTGCTCGTCAAACTCGAGCTTGAGACGGAGGTTGAGAACCTCGGTTGACGAGTTTAGTAGGTCCTGGTCGAGATACTAAATAGTACTAGTGTTAACCAGCATTTTCGACAATTTAAAGAGAAGCTCGTACCTTTGAGCCTGCGCTAAAGCATCTCCGTGATACAATTTGTGAGTAGTCTGAGAGATGGCTCCGGCGAAGGATAGGTGGCGCGCGCAAGGCAGCTCCGCAGAGTCTCGGCGTGAGCGCGTAATTCACACCAGCCGCCCTCTGCAATACTCTCATCTTTGGGAGTAACAGAGGCATTCTGGACCACCCATCATACATACCCACAACCTGGAGCTCAATTTCTTGATGGAGCAGGAGGCGTGGAAGCAGCTGCGGCGAATCTCCGCAGTTGTAAAATCTATATACTGCCGGCAGTTGCCACTTACCGCTGGGGCGGTGAGTATTCGTACCTGGCGCTACTCCAAATTCCGAATTTTCCCCGAACTATGCATACAATTGTTGACTTAGCTGTGCGAGTTCTATGGCCATTGTGGATGATCGAAGGACATCCATAGAGTATTATTCTACAATGAGGGCAATATCGCACAGTACTTAAGGTGATATTAGCACCTTCTCTACTAGATGATGAGTCGGACTGTTTACCAACAACCGAAACGGTACGAAGTGCTACAAAACCTGATGCGTAAGTGATTGAGTAATGACCATTTGCACTTAGCATTGGCTTGGAAACTATCCTTGAGTGTATGTATTTAGTTTCCTGATCTGACTGTCGGTGGTCTCTAGTCATTTATGATTGACAGATCTTCTTGAAGCACTTGATGAGCACAATATATTTAGTACGCTCATACTCCTCGTACATAGATGGGCTTTCGCCTAGTCGATGAACTCCAGCTCGACGTCACTGAAAGCGCCAGTCTACCCTGAGCTTCAAGTCTTCGTTGAGCAGCATACCGCCGTACCAGGATGATGCAAGCTATCTTGGGCTTCACCCGCAACTACAGAAACGTGCTCCATGCCAGAAAACACAACAGAAAGCAGTGAGAGAAGTCGGCTTCCGAGAAGATAATGTAATCGCATGAAGCGAGTCTAACCATATACAATGTGGTGTTCTGGCTGTGGTCGCTCACAGATGTGAACTTGGTGAGAAATTGATATTCTCATCCCATCAGAAGATAGTATAACACGTATCAATGGCAACACACTTAGGGGGCAGATACTTCCCAATTACAAGCCTTCGTGCTGTTTGCATACCGGACTCTGCTGATTTTGCCAAACTGGACGGGATAGTTGTTGCCAATCCCTGAAACACATTGAAGGAAATGCGGTACTCTTGAAGCACTACTAGGATGACCAAGCAGCCATTGTGTAGACGGCCGAGAGCTGTCCTACTAGACACAGGACCTTATCATAGTTGATACTGCTATTACATAGAGTGTCGATCCTTCCTGGTTTGCGGCCTTTCTGCATTAGTCTTTGGACACGCTAGCTCTTCGAAGCCCAACGAAGCCCAACAACTTGTCTATTTGACGGCAAGCAACTTGCGCATTTCGAAGCATTGACCATCGATACAACATTATCCTTGATCATAGCCTCTCCCCAACCAAACAGTTGGCGCGAGACAATATGAAGATCCACTATCAACATTGGCACGTCACCAAAGCAGTGAGTTGTGCTCTCGGTATGATTGGATCGTTTCCTTCCAATGCTTGCAGTGACCAGTAGCATGAACAAGGCGAGAGGCGCAGTTAATAGTGGCCTGACTACGACCACCCAACCAGCTAATGCAGGGATGGCGCAGGATCAGTCCAGCTTCTCCAAGGAGCTTGCAACATGACCACTTTGGGGCTACGTCATGCTCGAGCTCTACTTGGACGAACTCTACAACATATCAAGCTCAAGCAGCATCAATAAATCATCTAATAAGGCACCCCTGTCAACTACTTTATCAGCAAGGGTATACTACTCTAAGCTACCAGCTCTGTACATGAACGTATCTACCTACACGCAGAATTACCAAAAACACCCACGCACAACAAATCAAAACCTGAAAGACATATTCAAACGCCGACAATATTAGCAGCTTGAGCACCTCCCCAGAAAAGGGAAAGTAGTAGCAGATCTATTACAAGACCATCTCGAGGAATATTGCCGCTTTCTCTCAGCCAATACCTATTACCCCAACATCCCGCCTACAATCCTTCACTGCAGGTACGGGACATACCCTGAATCAATGCGCTTCTCCACGAAACGATCCCAATCAATCTACCCGCATATCCTTAATATAGAAAACGCCACAGACGACACTCCCGAGAAGCTGGACGGCGACAGCGCGATCTGCATTGCAGGCGCCTCCCATCCCACTTCCTCCAAATACGGCGTACTGACCCTCTGATAGTAATAGTAATAGACGGAATGAGGCTGAGCAAGTCCCTCTCCCCACTGCAATCAAATCCCAATAATACCCTCCGCGCCAATCATCCACACGCCAGTCGTCTCAGGTTCAATTAAGCTCTCGTGGGTCGTTGGCCAGGAACGTTCCCGCTATGGCATCTCCAAGCGCCGGTGTGGAGTAGACCCATCCCGGTGCAGCCCTAGCTCTTTACCGCGCAACTTACCTGAGCTCATCCTTTTGATAGCTAGCTATGTATGAAGTAAGCGCTCGCTTCACCTTCTCCAGACAAAGCGCTCCTTGAACAGGTCTGGACAAGACTCTACCGTCCCGTCGGCGCTTCATCATGCAATGAGAGCTCAGCAACCAAGATCCCATGGATCCTCATGGGTCGGATCTAGAACACGGCACGAGTGTAGCTAATTTTGTCTGGGTCTGGAACTTGAGGTTCTGTGCCGTGTATTCTCGCCTAGCTTCATGGTTTGAATAGGTGCTTGGAAAGAGAGATATTTAAAGAGAGTGGTTCTCGTCGTGGATTTGCTTTGTCTACACTTCAGTCAAACAGCGAAAACTCACGGTCTCTCTCAGTCTTCTTTGCCATTGTCTTATACATTCCTTTGATTTGGGATTGTTGTGCTACTACACTCCTTTGTATCATTGTTTGATCTCAATTGTTGTGTTTGCATACGTATTAATCACGGCCATTTGGCTAGCACACACTCTCTCTTCTCTTACAACCCATCTCACTCGTGAAGTGCCCGACATCGAGCCATCCATCTCATAATACACACATCTGTTCGCCTTAGCAGCTACCACTGCCATCAAGAAGAAAGAAAAGAAAATGGCACCCCACGGACTCCTCGGCGCAACCTTCGTCTGCGCGCGCATCATCCAGCTCTGCTCACTCATCGCCATAATCGGATTAACAGCGAACTTCATCGCCGAGATTGTCTCCAACGGCGCCACGCCCCCAGCCATCTTCATCGGGACAATCACAGTGGTACGTCCTTCCCTCTGCCTTCTACCTACCCAACATCCACCCCTCTAACCACCCTTGAATGGCAACCAGACCAGCATCGCAGTAATATACAGCTTCATCACAACAATCCTCTTCCTCGACAACATCCTACACTTCCTAATCTCCGCCATCCTCGACACCCTCCTCCTCATCGCCGTGATCGTGGTATCAGTCATCATCGGGAAGCCACTATCCTATCTGCAATGCAACAAGCTCAGCAGCGACGGGTCAAGCGGATCATCGGCGTATACGTTTGCCACGCATCTGAGCAGTTATTTGGAGGATCTGAATGGCGGGACTGTGGACTATACGGCCTGGATTGGAGCGAGTAAGTCGGTGTGTTTGGAGGCGAAGTCCATTTGGGGGTTGTGTATTGCTATGTGGTGAGTAACCTCCCCTGGATGTGGTTTATGGAGTCGGTTGGATCATGCTAACGAGGATGTATGCGCACAGTATCATGTTCTTCTTCTCAGGCGTTTGCGGACTCGTTCTTTGGAGACAGAAGAAGGCGGCGGGTGTGGAGAAATTGGATGGTTAGACGATGGACAATGGTGACGATGGGCGCTGATAATGCTAATGTTGATGTTGATGTTGATGTTGAAGGTGGTGACAACCCCCCCATCCCCTAATCTATCCCCATGCATTCTGTCCCTTCATTGATCTCTTTCCTATGTCTCTCCCACTTTCAATCATTTACGTCCAAGCAAACCCCACCCTAATACTCCAGACTTCCCCACCCCACCAGCCAGCGCATGTACCTATACCTATACCAAAGAGAATAATCAGAGCCAAAAACCAGACACAAAACCAATACCCTCAAAAACTACCTACCTACCTACCTAGCCAAGAACAGCCAATATCACTCATTCCAATAGGAGTAGACCGTTGATCACCCCGAACTAACCGGCGGAATCACCGCAACCTCATCCCCAGGCTTAATAACCACCACCTCCCCATCAGCCTCAACATCTACATACTCATCCCCCAAACTCACCCCACAACTACTCAACACCTTCTCTTTGATCCCCGGGTACATGGACTCAAGGGTATCAAAGAGTCTCGGCAGCGGTAAGGGGGCGGGGAGACGTTCGGTTTGTTTGCCGGTGTAGGTGGATGCGGAGGCGAAGTAGTGGATTTGGAATGTTGTATTCTCTTCAGAGGACATGTTTTGGGTTTGGGGTTATAGAAAATTTAGAGTATTAGGGAGTTGATAAATATCGTTTGTTGCTTGGTTTTTATTGAGGGTGGGATTGAGGAGGGGAGAAAGATAGGGAGAAAACAAAGGCGGGCGTGCGGGGTCTGCTGATAAGGATGTGGATGATAAGAGTGTTGGTGCCGCGCCGGCGGAGATTGACCAGTTGGTAGGTATGGAGTAGAATGTCTTACCCAACTAAGCAGTAGTACTATGCGGAGATCAAGAGATTACTGATGTTAACATCATCTGAAGTGCTAAGTCTTATCTATGAGATCGTTCAATTCTGTCATTATTTACCCTCGACTAATTCCTTGAACGCGGTCACCAGATCCTGCCGGAGATCTTCCCAGTTCTCCAACCCGACACTGATGCGCAGCAACCGGCGATCCACAGTCGCGTCCGACATTGTCCGCCATTCGATCAACGTTTCCACTCCTCCAAGACTGGTGGCATGCTGGAAGAATGCCAGCTTGCTTGGTAGCTTTCGAGCAAAATCCTCCGTCTTCATGGTGATCGAGAAGACCGGTCCGAACCCATTGGGCATCTGCTTCAACAGCCAAGACTCGTCCTCCTTCTGCAAGCTGGCATGGAACACCTGTTCAAGGGCACGTTGAACCACAGCTTCGTCGCTATCCGGAGCGGGGCTGGACGCACGCAGTGCATCGTTCAGCCAGGATACAAGGCTGGTTGCGTTCTGGCTCTGGCGCTGCACTCGGACTTCCAGAGACCGCAGGCTGCGAACGCCTAACCAGCTCTCCATATTTCCCATCACACTGCCCAGGAAGACCCGGTCCTCAAGCAGTTGTTTCGCCCAATCCTCACGCTGTGTAGCAAGAACTCCGCAAAGAACATCGCTGTGTCCGCCAAAATACTTCGACCCCGAGTGCATCACCAAATCGGCACCCCATTCGAAAGGGTCTTGGAGGAAGGGCGGGGCGAATGTGCCATCAACAATGAGGTACGCGCCACGAGAATGAGCCTTTTGAGCATACGCTTCGATATTGAAGGCGGTTCCCTCGGGATTGACCGGAGTTTCCAGATGAATCACGTCGCCAGCCTCCAATTGCTCGGCAGGACAATCCAGGTCTAGCTTCTGAAGTCCAGTGAGGCGACTGAACAGAGAAATCACGCCATGGCATCCGTGATAACCGTTTCCAATGGCAATCCGGCGGGGTTTGAGCAGGACTAGCGCCGCGTGCAAAGCTGACAACCCCGAGGAGTAGCTAATGGCCTTTCCATTGAGGAGTGAAGACAAGATAGCTTCAAACCGAGTATAATTAGGGGCGGTCAACCGAGAATAGACGTGCGCTGTGTTGTCCTTCTGATCCTAGACACGGAAGCACAGTTAGCATTGAGCTCGGAGTGCATTCGGGGAGTAAGACACCTACCCCACTGCGGTCGGCCCAGGGCACTAATTCATCGGGGTTGTCGGAGTAGCGGAAAGTAGTGGCCACGTGAATTGGCGGAGCCACATCCGTGACGACATTCAGGGCATCGTCGACATGAAGAGCGCGCGTGGAGGCGCCCATTTCTCGATTAGCGGGAGCCATGGTGATGATGAGAAAAGATGAGAAGAAGAAACGTCAGGCCGCGCGGACGCAGTCGGGAATGCCGGCCATTCGCCATTCGGAGATTTGCTGTCGTGACTCAGGAAGAGTGGGGAAGGGGAGCCGAAGAGGGGGAGAAACTGCTCCGCATCGGATAACCGGCACGTGATGCGTGGGCCGATGAGAGCACAAGTAGGAAATGGATACTGCAAAACCAGTGACAGTCGGACTCAGCTTAAGCCTAACGACGCAGAGAGCTCATCCTCGACGGCTCACGGACTGATCCGGGCACAGCCGCATGGAAATTCGTCCGATCTATAGGGTATCAGCATTAACGCCAGACATATGCAATAGCAAGGGATCACTCGGCGTACCTGCTTCAGAGTCAAAGGCAATTGAAATGTCGTCGTGCTCCATTGGGTAATCCGGCGAGTCCAGAGATACAAAGTCCGATGCCGGGTCATCTTCAGTCTTCGGCAGAGCAAATTTGGCATCCACAATCCGAACCCCAAACTTGCCAGCTTTCCCGAAGCTCTCCAGGGTGTCGGTGCCTTTGAGAACGAAGTTCATGCACTTTCCATGATGGAAGTCACTGAAGAAGACTACCAGCTGCACAATTCTGTCGCGCTTGATCACTTGGATTCGAGCCAGGCTGGATTCCCACTTCTTAGTGATCGGGACAACCATCCGGCGTCGTGAGATGGCGAACGAGGTAGCCACACTACATTCCCAGTATTAGTTATGGCCTCTTTCAACAACTCTGACTTATGCATACCTGTCAAAAAGCACCTGGTAGCCCGTCACCGCTCGTTCGAACATATGAAGATCTGAGAGGCATATCAGTAAAGTCTTTTCAGGTCGATGTAAAGAGCAGTATATATTACCTTGTACAGATGCGAAGTCGAATCGTCGGATCATTGGTTTAGTCATGGCGATTTTTAAGAAATCTGTTATCTTATCTGGCATCTCTGGTAGTACTAGATTCTCAGCGACGGACACAGTCCAGTCCTTCTGCCCAGGTCGGTACAGGCTAAGCCCCGTCCGATTGTTGATATCAAGTCCCAGTTTCAGCTCACCGGGCCCTAGGATATTGTTAGCTGAAGTTCTCAATGATGATCTGGAAAACATACCGAGATTGATCCGATCCGTGACAGATCCCCATTCGGTTGCGATGAAAGCACGTAGATTCTCGGATAGCACCGTCGGACCGTACCCATGCTCAACATGTGTGTGCTCACGGTCAATGATCGAGACTGTACCGGCAGGAAATTGAATATGATCCTTTGCTAGCTGCCCAGTGTTACGATCGGCAGGCTGTTGGACGGTGTATGCACGGATTGGGATCTCAGGTGACTTAACCTCGTTTCCCTTAGGCTGAATACCCAGAAGCAAGGAATGCATGTTTGTGCGATCCTCCGATTCATAGAACGTCATCACCATAGACCGGGTCCTTCCTTCCTCCTTGACCTTGAGTAGAAGGGCTGGTGCTCCATCCTCACCTCGGAGCAGTCCGAATACAACTGGTGCGCCGGACCCAATGGTATGACGCACACTGCTAAGAGTCTTGACCTTTGGGCTTGTGAGTACCGCAAGACGAAACCCTTGATGCACAATTCTACTGCCGGTGCCCTCAGTCAGAGTGATGGTCTTTTCGAAGAGTCGAAGCCGACACCGCTCAATGGGATCGGCTGGGAAGGCTTTTGGCGTTCCAGGGTCCATATACTGGAATGACTTGAGAGTGTTTTCAAAAATTACTGTTTCACCTGACTCAGCCTGCAGGCTTGCTTCGGTCTTGCGGGTGTACTGGACAATGTTCCAGATATTCTTGAAGTCATCCTCCTGGAACGCGACCTCCAACACAAATCCACGCGGCAGCTTCACCCTTATCGAATGTGACCGGACTAGCCAGTCCACGCTGTCCCATGTAGGGCCCTTTTTCTTGTCCGACTGGATCATAACATTGACAAGTTCATTCTGGCTGGTTATCGCGGCGAAGACATACCAGTCAGCACGATCACGTATGATGGACAATGCGCATGGCATAGACAGTTTCGGCATGTCATCTTCATTGGAGCTGACGAGAACATTCACAAACATGGTCCCGTAGCTAAAATAGCGACTTGTATCACTGAGTGGCATTGTTTGCACAAAGGAAGGCCCCTTTCCTGCCGTGTCCGCCAGTAGCGAGCTTGTTGCGGTACCCGAGAGGACCGCAGCCACGTCCAGAGCGAAAGATGGATATCGCATCCAAACACTAGTGTCAACTGGTATGGCGGAATCACCCTGGGATGCAATAGCCACAAGGATGTTGTTCCGCTTGATGGACATGGCTAATGAGCGAGAATGGTTCATAATCGCCTGGTGTAGGGTAAGAAGATCGGCCAATTGTGCGTTCCCGGTCGTGTTGGCTACTGCAATCACAGCATCAATACTCCTTGCGCCATAGCGGGTCACCTCATCATGTTGTGGGACGACATATTCATTGATCCATAAGGCCTTAGCAAGATCCACGATGGCTTGCTTCGCGCTTTCTGTAGAGCTGAGAAGGGGTGATCGTGTGCCAGAGCTGGAGGGGCGTGACCGTGCATAAACTTCGAGCCGTTTCTTCCCCCGCAGAAACCACCACACTTCAGCTCTCACCCATTCGGACAGAGAGGTGTCCTGTATGGGCCTGGCTTCCTCCGCAGAGGCTTGGATCAAGCCTTTAAACTGCGCCATGTACGCTTTCAGATCAGTGAAAGCCGTGTCACCCAGTTGGTTAGCAACAGACCGCAATGTAAACTTTGGAGCCTGAGGATTTCGGGAAGTATCGCGGTTATCCCTGCTGGCTGGAGGAGAGGGGGCGTCAGGTTGTTCCGCCATCTTGGGTATGATCTGCCGCTTTGGAGGAGAAAGGCTTTGGGTACTTCCGCCAGGAGAGAGTATAGAAGGGAGGACCGGGGTTTCAGGGCTGCGATCAACTGGACTACGATCGATGTGAGGAGGGACTTGGGGTTCTCGAAACGGATTCTCTGGCGGGCTGGGCTCTGTCTCCGAAAGGGGAGGCGTCTCATAGGTCGAACTAGGGCTGTCAGGTACAGCCTCCGCCGGACTTTGTACCCCTGCTTCATCTGCAGGGGAGGGTGGATCTGGCATTCGGTGCTGCAAAGCACGTCCCTCCTCAGCTTGCATCTTGTCTCGTATCCGTTGGGCAAACGATTGGGACTCGGGTGAAGCACGGAATGATAAGCGGGAACCTCTTTCTCCCAGGTTCAATGTCATAAGGAAATCAGCGTCCTGAGGGTTCTGTAGCAATAGTGGCTTCCAGTCCTCTACACGTGTCCCCTTCTGCGCATCTCTCTGCTGCGGCGCCGGGGCACTCAAGTCACCAAACGAAGTGTCCAGGCGAAGTTGAGGAAGTTTTGGCTGGCGGTCACCAAAGTCATCCACCATACTGGGACTGTAGCTATTCTGGTTATTACGACATAAGGAGATCTCAATTGTCGGCTTGTCAGTCTCATCACCCCCTTCTCCAATCAGTTCGGGAGTATGGGCACTGAACTTGACTGTCAACCCCTTCCGACGACTCTTGAAGGGTGGTTTCGTAAAATCCACGGGCGGGGGAGCATCATGACGGGCAGGGTTCAACGAAGCCGAATTGAGGACATCGTGGGCAGACGGCCATTTTTGGGTGGCATCCAATCGCGGAGGCGTATTCTGACTCGCTCCGTAGGATACGGATTTCGAGCGAGTAGGTGCGAGGAAAGCCTCTATCTGCTGATCCGTAGAGCCCTTGGCCCGCTTGTCCTTTGAGAACAGTTTATCTCTCCAATGCGGCTTCTTGGCCGGCGCGGGCTTCTGTTCATTCGCGATGAAGGCAAAGGGATCCTCGGTGGATGTAGACATATCGGTGGATTTTAAAGTAGGTACGTTTCCGAGATACGATACGGCCTGCTATTGAGCATGGCAGGAAATTCAGTATGGGTTGATGAAGTATATGCGGCGCCTGTCCGTCCGTATTCTCCGCCAATCTCGCAGGTGCGTGTGCGCAGGTGGAAGACCGACAAAAGCAGGACGATATTTGACAGCTCGGTAAGTGTAAATACGCAGCGTAATCGAATGCACCTTATCGCGCGTAAGTAATGGCAGTCGTCAAGGCAAAGAATCTCGGGTACCAAAGTAGGAAAGGATGAAGTGGCGGTTGGTGGGACAAGTGACTCGCTCAAACTTCTTAGTGTTCGCACACAAGGCTCAATATGCCACAGAGACGCGCGGCGTGAAAAAGAATAAGCTAGCGGAAAACAAGCACCAGAAGTGGGTGTGTGCAGAGCAATCACCCAAGGACACGAGGCCGGTTGTATGACACTGCTAGCAGGACCTGTGCAATTACCTGCGCTGTTTAGTGGGACTCGGAGACGAGCGATCTACCAAAACCAATCAATTAAATGACCATTCAGGAACGGCGCTGCAACAAAGGGGGAAACTAGTAAGTAGTATCTGAGCTTGGAAGCTTCAGGGGTTAGATAGAGGGGCATAAGGCAGTAGCCTAACTAACCAATGAACTCCAAGGTAGAATGGTGTATCTGTAAACGCCAGCGCGAGTGGGCTCGGCGCCTCGCAGCTTCTGAAGGCGATGGGCGATAGTAGGGAACTATAGCTCAGCCCGCCCGGTTGTTGTACTCCGCAGAAGAGACGGGGAGGGTTGATTGTAGCAAGGGAGAGACGGGGTAGGGATTAAAGCTGTTCCAGCAGCTAGTTGTGAGATATGGAGGGGAGAGCAATGCTCCAGCCACGGACAGAGCAGTCAAAGCAGAGGGAAGGAAAGGGGGGAGAAGGAAGAGAGAGAGAGAGAGAGAAAGAAGGGAAAAAAAGAAGATCACAAACAATCAGGAACATGTGGACGAGTGATGGTACGACCCCGTGCTATTAAACCTCTCTCCGACCGAGGGACGGGTACCTCAGGCAGGCTAGGGAGAGGGAGGATCTCCGCAGTGGTTTTGTTCCACTGGTTGTGATTCTTCAAT